GTAGACACAGGTAAAATTTAGCAGGTATAGTATTTCATAGTTTTTGCGTCGTTCGTTAATAAACTGTCATCAGGGAAATAAAAACATAAACAAACAATATATATGACATTACTATAATAAGTTTTCAAGAACTTAAGAGCTCTAGTCTCCGCTTCGATATATCGGCAGCCCTGGAACCTCCAGGAATATTCAGAACTGATGGGAAATGAATGGACGGTCTCTCATTGATTCCATGGAAAAGAGGTAAACCATTGGTTTGGGATTGGGATGCAACCTGCTCTCATACCCTAGCTCCATCTCATGTCAACATGACATCAAAGAAAGCCGGAGAGGCTGCAAAAATTTGGGAAATTTCTAAAACGAATAAATATTCTGAAATATTGAAAACATATTTTTTTGTCCCGTTTTGTGTAGAAACTTTTGGTCCTTGGGGTGAAATAGCAAAATAATTTTTTTGAAAAATTAGGTGCAAAAATCAAATCTGTTTGTCATGAACCCAGGTCCACCTCGTTCTTGTTGCAGATGATTAGCACAGCCATCCAGAGAGGAAATGCAGTTTCGGTGTTGGGCACTTTACCCAATATGCAGGAGCTGGACGAAGTTTTCTATCTTTAATTTTAATTATTTTTGTTTGGGTTATATTTATAGGTATTCATATTTATACTAGCTGAACCGGCGAACTTCGTACCGCCTATGAATTATTAAATACCTATTAAATGTTGTGTTAACGTATCTAGTGGATGAAATAAATTCAGTTTTTTTCAATGGTGAATTTGGCCTTGGTTGAAGAAAACTAATGTTTACTCTCTGGATCAGAAATCACCTGAAATTAAAATTTAACATCATTTGGCTATTGATTTCAAATAGGGTGCTTCGCTTGGATCATAATCGCTCTCGGAGCACTTCCGCAGAGATCTGTGACGTCACCGCCCAAATAGAGAGCGCTCTGGGAGTAGTAAAGCCGAAAATGCTATAAGATAATACTGTTACGTCGGTTGAATGGAATAAACAAAAATAAGTTGAGTTATGGAGTGGTGAGAAGCAAGAAAAAAATAAAAAAATTTGGGGTGGACCACTCTTATCACTTAGGGGTATAAAAAATAGCTTAAAACCTATTCTCAGACCTACCGAATATACATATGAAATTTCATAAAAATCGGTAAAGCCATTTCGGAGGACGAAGGTAACTAAAACTGTGACATGAGAATTTTATTAATTAGATTTATATTTTTTTGAGAATTTAAATAAGTATTTGCTTTTGTATTTTTGATATGGGACAAAACAGGAGCTTCAAATACTCATCCATAGGTATAATGTCCAAGATATGGAGGGCCAGTATGGGGATCTGGAAAACGGTAAGAGATACGAGGTCGATTTAATGAGAAAAAAGTTGCGCAATTTTGTGCTCATTAAAATGGCGCTTTGATATTTCAAAAATTCCGAGTGTTACCGGAGATATCCGGAAAAAACGAAATTCGCCCGAAATGATTTTATTTTTTCCTGACCTTATTTGAAGAGATATTCCAAAATAAATGGCACTTCATCATTGTCACTTTTTCTCCTCTACATGATGCCTCCATCAAATTTAAAATCTGACGTTTCGTCTTTGGGCCACCATCATCAACTTAATTAATTTTTTTAAATACGGACCCTTATTCTTTTTTTTAGATTTTATAGGCTTCTGATGTCCCAAAACCAATGACGTATTGCACTTATTTGAAAAAATTATATTTTTGTCATACGCTCCCAAAAACAGCTATTTTACGGACTCATTCAAGTCCGTAAAATGCTTTTCCTAATTTAAGCGTCCTCGTATCTCTTACCGTTTCCCAGATCCCCATACTGGCTCTCCTTATCTTGGACACATTGTATACATATTATATTAAAAAAGAAGAAAAAGATTTTTAGATTTAGTAAAAAGGGATAAATGTATTTCAAACATGAAGCGGAAATGGAGCAAGAAGGGAAATTGAACCCTGTAATTTCTAATCAGAAAATTGAAAAAGATTCAATAAATGTCGGGTTACGATAGGTTACCGGGACCTATACTCAATCTAGCTAGGTTTATGTTTGTACTATTTTATTACCTATGAACTATGGTCCTATGTTTATATAAGTAGATTAAGTTCATTTTCATGACGAAAACGTACATTAGGTTAGGATAAGGTACTTTGTTTTTGACCCATCTATATAAGAAATTACCTACCTATGTAAATTACAAAAATAATATTTTTTTTCGGAAATTATCAAAAAATAGGAGCTCCTTTGTTTTGTGTGCATTTCATAATTATATTTAACAGAAAAGTTGATTTGTTTGAGATTTTTGTGCCTACAGGAGCTAAATATTTAGTTTCGTTTCACGTATTTTATTGTTGACAAGGCCCAGGCGCCATTCTATTACTTTATGTCCCCCAATACCCTTATAAGAAAAGTGCGAATTTGGTGCAATATTATATTAAACCTGGAAGGTCCTTTATTTGGTTTTGTGTTTGTTTTCAGGTTAGTCATGGGTCTCGACGTTTAGTAAACGTTCAAATCTGGTTGTGTATGCTGACGTATACCAATATAAGTTAAAAATTGGTAAAACCTCGCGACCTGCGACGTCGTTACAACCATGAAATGATTCTCCATTTTGGTGAAAATTAAGGGTTGTATTTGACGTTGCGCCTTAACGTCAAGACATCAATGACGACGTTGTTAGAACATAAAAGCGCTGCTTGGGAATCCATACTTATGATTAGCATCAGTTGATTATGTATAATTTATTCGTTGAGAATAAGTCAAACCTGGAGCATTACTTATTATGTAATTGTTTTAGTCGAACAAATGCTTCTTTTTGTGGACTGTTATCGTCCTAAGTCCAAACTGTTTTTTTTTTTTTTTATAATAATATCTAAGTGAAGCAGTTTCTTATGAAACAGTTTTAATAAATCGGCTACATTTGTTGGCTTTTCCATATTCTGTATGCCTTGAATTTTTTCATCGGCAACTTCAATTCCTTTATCAATTAAAGTAAGTCCCAAAAAAGATACTTTTGTTTTAGCTCTTGCTCTTCTAATATATGTATTGCCAAAAATAAGAATATCATCCCATATGCCAAGATTCCATCCAAACCACAAACCAAATCATTTACCTATACATTACATGCTTGAAAAATGTCTGGTGCATTTGATAATCCGTATGGTAGTCTGTTGAATTTGTATCGACCAAAAAGTGTTATAAAAGAACACAGGTCCGAACTATCTTCATCTAATGGTATATATCTGCCAAAAAGCACATGAAGCATCTAGCACTGAAAACCATTTGGACTGGCCAATTAAGGAAAAAATAGTATCGATGGTAGGTAGTTCAAAGTCTTTGTCTTATGATATACTTGTTCAGAGGTCTTGGGTCCATACATAAACGAACTGAGCCATCCTTCTTCTCGGTTATAACAAGTGCATTGAACCATTCTGTTGCTTCTGTTGCTATTTTTGTAACTATATTCCATCTCTTTCCATTTGATCAATAGCCTTCTTTGTACTTGTTCGTGCCAAGGGAAGTTTACGGCATCTGACAATGTTTGGTGCATAGTTTGATTGAAGTCTAATTTTACATTTATTTTTAATGCAACCTATGCCTTTAAAAACGTCATCATATTTTTCAATTATTTTTAGAGCACAATTTTTGTCTTCCTTCATATTTTCTATGCATGATTCTCTTTTAATTAGATAAGTTCCATACAACTCTTCAATCCTAGTATAGGCTCATAATTTTCTTTTAAAATGTAAAAATCAAAATCCATTTTAACATCCTTATACCTGGCTGATAATCTAGAGACCCCTAATATTTATTTTTATTGCATACTAATAACGATGTATTATTTTTTTTTATTTCAGGTTTATTATTTAACTTATTAAACATATAGTATTTAGGCAATATATTAGCTTCACTCCCGGAATCTAGTTTAAATTCTATAAAAAGTGTTTCATTTATACATACTTTCCCTGTCCAGTTCTTGACAGATTTTTCTTATATATCTAGTGCTAACACCTCTTCATATTCTTGCTCTTCATCTATTTGAGATTTTTGCTCATCTTGATTTTCATTATTCTCCTCCTTGAAATTATTTCGGTTTTTGCAGTTACCACATATTTTTCCCTAAGCTGGACAGTTGCCAAAATCATGGGAAGAATTGCAACGATAACATTTTTGGTCATTTGTTAAATATGTTTTGGAATTCAGATTTTTAGCTTCATATTTGTTAAATATATTTAACCTGTCAATGTGTCAATCCCTAAATTATTACTATTTGATGAAGTACCAGACATAGCTCTAACTTGTTTTCGTGATCTTTCATCTGCCCTGCAAATATTTATACATTTAGATAAATCGAGAACCCTCGTACTAAGCAACTTCTCTCCAAGAATATCATTATTTGTTATGCCATATATAATTATTCTATCCTTAATCAATGAATTCTTTAAATTATCAAACCCACAGTCTTCTGCTTTCTGTCTTAATTCAGTAAAATATTCATTATTTGATTGGTTTTGCTTTTGATTACAAGAGAAAAATAAAAACCTAGTATTAGTTTCATTTTTATATGGAATGAAATAATTCGTAAGTTTATTCAAAATTACTTCTACAGTAAGCTCATCATCTTTTTGAGTAAAGGATAATGTGCTATACATTTCTAGTCCATAATCACCCATGAGATGTAACAATATAGCTCTCTGTTTTTTTACCTTAGCTTTTTCAATATTTAGCAGCTACCTACCCAATACAACAAAACTTTTTGTCTACATTTATTCCGCGATAATGCCTGATCGGGCCCTGGTTCAAATGATTTTGGTGCTGGCAAATTTGCCATTTCAATTGACTTATACCAAATTATTCACTCATTTCTGCTGCCACCATATAACATCATTGTAAGAAAAAAAAACAAACCTTAACGTTTTCAAAAATGTTTATTTAAAATTATGTATAAAGCACATTTCATTTATGTACTCAAAAGAAAATCCCAAATACACAAAAATTCACCAATAACAACAACGTGAACAATTTAATAGATTTTATACATCAATATATACAATATCAACAAAAATTATGTTTACTTATTTTTTTTATGTAAAAAAAAAAATATTAATAAGTAAGCACTAAAACTAATGTCAGAGGAATATGGGGAAAAATTGTCTGAAAATGGCCAAGAATTTTACATAAAATTGAATAACAGTTTTTGGTATTTGCCAAGTACAGACTGTAAACCTGAAGAAATGCTAAAGAATCAGAAGACATTGAAAAATTAGAATCGAGTTGGAGTCAGATGGACAGTGTTCGATAGTGGGTTGCATATTTAAAAATAAGAGCATGTAATGGCATTCATTAAATAGAATAATTGGAAAGTAAGTGGTAATGAACGGGTCCAAATGGCAATCTAGGAAACTGTTAAAATTGATTCCAGCACTTCCAAAAATCACTCCACGTGTGCCTTTGGCCTGTATGTACTTAGCTTTAGATATATGTATTACATACTTATAAAAAAAAAAAAACAATTAAATACCCAACCCCTTGGGACAATATTGAAATAGAAAATCTCCATAAAAAAATAATATTAATAACATCGAGCACTCTAAAACAACAAGTCAAAATAAACAAAATAGACCCTCACAGCGCGATTGTATTGTATCACTTAATCTCCTGGTTGCAGCTACCAATAATATTTACATCAGCTATAACACACACACACAAACAATAATGTTAAAAAAATAATTTCTTGTGCACTAATTATTCCTGGAAATTTTCAGGAGCCACAACCAATAAATTACATACATGCTCCATTAGATTTATTTGACATTTATTGGCTCCTATATTCAGCTTAAAATATTACTAAAACGTTTTCGAATTGTTTTCCGGCTTTTTCTCTATGGTAGGCGGCGGTATAACGGTCTCCGGGTCCATATTGGGTTTAGTACTTGGTGGTACTGGGTTCGGCGACTTCAAATCCTCCTTTTCATTGCCCTTCATATCTGGATCCTTTTTTATTTCTTCCTTGGAGAAAATACAGAAACCTAATAATAAATGCTAACATTTACGTCAATTTTTTACCTTTTCAATGGGCGCTCTTAGAGTTTCATCTTTATGTTCGTTATTGGATTGTTCTTTAGCTTGAGCTAATCGTTTCTCAGCTTCCTGCGCTTCTTTGTCTTTGAGTAAAGCTTTTTCGATTTTGTCTTCGACTTCCAAAATTTCTTCTTTGTCGATAAGTTCAATAAGTTCGTCGATTTGTTTACTGTTTAGTTTCACGTTTTCTTTTCCTATTATTTCGATAACCTAAAGAAAAATAATAAGTTTGTTAAGAGGTTAGACGTTTTGAATAAAAGATAATGCAAAACTTGTAGACAAAGGACTTTAACAAGTTGTATTAGGCATTCAAAATTTTCTAAGCATCAATAAATGCATGCTTATTGGAAACTATTTGTCACTTCACAAATAAGACAAAAAATTTTGCAAATCGACAATACATACAATATTAATTGACATTTCAACGATTTAACTCACTCTAGAGTATTTATAAACTATCTGAAATGAAATAAGAGTATTTTTAGGTATAAATAAAACTGAGATAATTTGCCGCATTTAAATGAATTGTGGCAAGATCTGGGATTTTATTCAAACTTCACCTGCCTACAATTACCTCAGTCACAGGCTTGTTTAAAAGCGTCAAAAATAATATTTACCTTAAGCACATCATCAATTTTCAAGGAACCATCATGATCGTCATCCATTTTCCTCAAAACCTTAACAATTTTTTCCAGTCTACTCTGGTCAGGTACATCTTTGATCTTCTGAATAGCGGCGATAATATCGTCAATCTTCAGTAGCTCCTCTTTCTTTTTATCACTAGCATCTTCTGTTAAATCTTTCTTCAGTTGGGCTTCTTTCTTTTCCAATTCTACCAACACCTTGTCCATCTTTCCTATCATCTTATTAACGCTCTTGAATAATCTTTTAGCTGCCTTGGTTTCTTGGACTTCAGGTTTGGGAGTGTCGGCAGTGGCTTTTGCCAAATCTTCAACGTCTTCTTTATAGTCGGCCATTTCTGATTTGAGTTCTTGAATTTCTTCTTTTTCCACAATAAGTTTCTTTTCTTTGGACACTGTATCGATGGCGTGTTCAATGATTTGGATGTCTTTGGTATGGATATCTTCTTCTTTTTCTTTCGCCTGTATTCAAACAAACATCAAAAGTTTGATGCATAGTTTATTATTTTTGCTCACCTTTTCCACTTTCTCTAACTTCTCAGTTGATATCCTTAAAGCGGTGTCCTCTAAAATAGGCGTGGCTGAAGCTGAAATTGTTGGTGCTTTGTCCACCAATAATTCTTTTTCTTCCAATTTTTTAATTTCCTCTCTGAAAATACAAACACTAAATAACAAAATTCATTATCAACATTTAAAAACTTACTTATGTTCCTTTCTTTCTTGTTTAATTTTCTTTTCTTCTTCTTTGATAAGCTCCAAACGTATCTTGTTATCAATTTTGCCCTCTTTCTCACCAATAGCAGCTTGAGTTTGTTTAACAATAGTTTCAGGCAATGAAGAAATTGTAGCTTTAAGTTTATCACTTGTTGGTATAGTTTCTGGTAACATTAAAGCTCTAGAGAGCAATAACAGAGATGGAGGCACTTTTTCATTTAAACTTAAATCCAACCATTGGTTTAATTGTGATCTTAACCTTAATTCTGATACTCCATAGGCTCTCATGCCTCTTGCCCTACATGCTTGTTGGATTTCGCCTAAAGTTAACGAATGTACTCCTTCTTTTTGGATCATTTTATCATCGGCAGCTAACTGTCTTAGTTTCATTCTCAACTGAAACCTTAAGTGGGAAATTTACCTATTAAAAATTTTATTAGATTGTGTTATTACCGTAGAAAATTGTTGGTTCCTAAAGTATGAACGTCCAAGACTCTGCACAAGGCAATTAGCTGGCTTCTAGTTAACGAATCCAAAGTGATTTCGTCTTCGAATAATTTCGAAAATTTCATTATTTCCTCAGTGGAAACTTCCTGGCCCGATGTACGCACCTTATTGAACCACTCTAAAAACTCTTTGGCCGTTTCTGAATAGCGGTCCTTGTGCTGGACTGCCATTTCGTCAAGAGTACCCTGAAGGCAAATATTTTTTTTAAAGCTATTTCTAAATAAAAATATTTTGGGAAGTACAAAGTCAGTGACTTCAACACCTGTTGTAGTAAGGAATGAAAATTGGTAGGACAAGTTTCTTATGATACAAAAATTATTAATGATATTTAAATTTAGATAAATAGTTTTGATGTCTTTTCTTTTCAAAACAAGGTGTCCAGGCAGAGAGTGACTCATTTCAAATGATTATAACTTTTGAAACAGGCGTTCTAGCCACCTGCGGTTTGCGCTATTCAATTTCTCTTGGTCTAAAGTTTTGGTCGCAAATTTTTTGACACTTAAACAGAGTCAGTGAAAAAATCTGTGTTTCAGCTATGTATTTTAAATTGAACACCCTGTAACTAACAACATTGAATAGAAGAGTTGTTCCCAAGGTATACTGGTATACACGTACCAATCAACACCGGACTTGAAACTTCCAATTTCAGTTGAAAAAAGTTAAAATAAAAATCTTGGTATTTTTGCAAACTCATTTTTTTATTAGCATATTTCAAGGGACAACTGTGAAGTTATCTTTGCCTGATTAGAATTTGATGAAAAGAATAAAACTAGACAGTTGTTGCACTGATACAGGGTTTAATCAAGGAACCTATGTAATTTGATTTTTTTGCTTTTTCAATCATAATATAATCTCTATAGTTTTTGACTAAATTGGATGAGTAAGAAAGATTGTCAACTACAAGAACGATAACTGCATATACCTACTAACTAGCCATCTGATATCTTTGAAAGATTCATTTATCCACAATTTAAGACAGGGAGTATCTTGGATGAGCAGAATGATGCTTCATCTCATATAATTGAAGTGATTCCCCAGGATATTTCACACAATTCATTAAACCATTCACTCATTCGACTGCATTGATGTATGGAATAGAATGACCAACATATACAGTTATTTTATCAGCCCTTTTCATCAATAAATGATCAGGCAAATATAATTTCATAGTTGTCCCTTAGTGAAATGCTAACAAAAAAATGACTTTTCAAAATCAACCTTTTTTTACTGTTGGTACAGCGGTACCTGAGACACAACTTTAACATGGTGAGATACAGGGTGTTCTATTTAAAATAGTTGAGAATTTCGATGTTGAAAAGAGGCTTTTCTTTAATAGCGAGTTTAGTCGCTTTATACAGGGTGGCGCAAAATGAACGTTATGATTTGAAAACTTTATAACTTTTTTATTTTTAAGTGAATCGTTAATATATATTTTTTTTAACACAGTTTATGAATGGAGAAAATTTTTGACTCAAATGTGAAAAATGACATCTCGCAAGTGTTTGCCATTTTCTGCTTCGCAAAGTCGTGCTCTTTCCGACACATGTTGCATAACTTTTTGCAAAATATCAGGAGTTATGGCACGGATTTCATTACGTGGTCTTCCGGCACCACGGAGGTTCCTTACTGAACCTTGTTACTGAAAATTTGCAACCAGACGATTTATTGTTGACACGGAGGTTCCAACACGCACATTAAAATACCGACGATATGCACGCTGCGTAAGAACAATAATTGAGTTTCCATTCGCAAAGTAAGATTCAATGATTTTTGTTCGTTGTTGTATCGTGTATTGTTCCATTTTAAATTCCCCAAGTCTTCTTTACAAAGTTCTAAAACGAAAAAGAAATTAAAAATTTTAAAACAATCAAATCATAACGTTCATTTTGCGCCACCCTGTATAGGTGTCAAAAAAATTTGTGACCAACTGAAAATAATAGACCAAGAGAAATCGAATGGCGCAAACCGCAGGTGACTAGCACCCCTGGTTCAAAAGTTATAAGCATTTAAAATGGGTCACTCTCGGCTGGGGCACCTTGTATTATGGAAGCATTTGTTAGTATTTAGGGATAACAAGAAAACGCGACTGTTTTTAAAATAAAAAAGCATAACATGCAAAATAATAAATATCAGACGAAGGGTAAATCCTCGGGTAAATCACTCATGGAAATCACTGTACACTTTGCTGGGAATACTTTGGGAATACCTAGAAATACTTGTTAATACTCTGGGAATACCTAGGAATACTTGGCAATTCTTGGAAGTACATAGGAATACTCTGGAAGTACATGGGAATAATTTGGAAATACATGGAAGTACTTGTAAATTTCTATAACTTTCAACTTCACTTTTAACATACTTTTGGGCATTTTCATTGAAATCTCAAGAATTGCGTGCAGGTTCGTTACTAAATCTATCTCAAATTTATAAAGAATTTACTCAGGAATTTATAATGGTATATCTAGGCCTCACTTAAACCAACCTCCGGGTCGACCACCCTATACACTGTGTCCCAAATGGGCTCTTTCACTAAAATTTAAATACGTAATTTAAGTATAAAATCTCAAAGGAGGGACTATTTCAGGCATATATACCAAAAAAAATGTTCTACAAGGTTCAATAAGTTTTTCACAGGCAATCAAAAGTGGCCAAATTCAAATTAATTTTAAACGCGCCGATTTGCCGACGTCACATAAATATTCTTCTTTTCGCTTATGTTGTTGTAAGGAGGACCGGCTCGGCTGTGTTTGCGCTCTGTAAAGATACGTAAAGGTTCGAATGCGCTGTTGTCGGTTGTGACTAAATGTAGTGCAGCGTAAAATAAATAAATAAAACTAAACATAAAAAATTGTATTAAATTGTGTTTAAGCATAATTTAAAAAAAAAAATGTTATAAAATCTTGAATCTATAACTTATTAATTTAACTACTTTTCATGAGATTTTGCCAACATTTCAGAATTAAATCTATTACAAATTTTCAATGTTGACAATTAGTGGCAACACGGTCAAATTGCGAGCTGCGACGTCATAGAAATAAATTCTGGGTTTTTATTTGGAGGTATTTCTTTGTTTTCTGTTTTCTCAAGAAGGACATTGAATTTTTCAAAAGTAAAAATACAGAAAATTCTGTTTTTAGTTGCTTTATCCAAATATGCCAATGGGCTCTTTCACTAATTTTTGAAATTGGCATATTTGGATAAAGCAACTAAAAACAGAATTTTCTGTATTTTTACTTTTGAAAAATTCAAAGTCCTTCTTGAGAAAACAGAAAACAAAGAAATACCTCCAAATAAAAACCCAGAATTTATTTCTATGACGTCGCAGCTCGCAATTTGACCGTGTTGCCACTAATTGTCAACATTGAAAATTTGTAATAGATTTAATTCTGAAATGTTGGCAAAATCTCATGAAAAGTAGTTAAATTAATTAGTTATAGATTCAAGATTTTATAACATTTTTTTTTTTTAAATTATGCTTAAATACAATTTAATGCAATTTTTTATGTTTAGTTTTATTTATTTATTTTACGCTGCACTACATTTAGTCACAACCGACAACAGCGCATTCGAACCTTTACGTATCTTTACAGAGTGCAAACACAGCCGAGCCCTTCCTCCTTGCAACGACATAAGCGAAATGAAGAATATTTATGTGACGTCGGCAAATCGGCGCGTTTTAAAATAGTTTGAATTTAGGCACTTTTGATTGCCTATGAAAAACTTATTGAACCTTGTAGAACATTTTTTTTTTGGTATATATGCCTAAAATAGTCCCTCCTTTGAGATTTTATACTTAAATTACGTATTTAAATTTTAGTGAAAGAGCCCATTTCAAAAATTAGTGAAAGAGCCCATTGCTTGTAATCAGAGGGTTTCTCAGTAACCAGCAGAGATAGAACTTTGCAGTTTTCGCGACCCTGTATCAGTTTTTCGTGACAGAATTGTGCTAGCTTGTTTCGTTCCCGAGATACAGGGTGAAATAGAAATTTTGCGCTTTTTGGTGGTATCATATTTTGAACACCCTGTAAGATAGAAGAAAGCTGAAAACGCCTATGGATAGAATGATATTTTCACGTAGAATCTAGTGTTGTAGTCAGATTTTTTTCAAAGGAGCACCCTGTATTATTTGGTCCCAAAAACCCCCCTTTTTTTGTCTTCAAAATGATGTCACACTATGTATTTGTGACGTAAACTAACCCTTGAAAACGTAAGTTGGCCATGGATTTATAAATATTTACTTGGGTATTAAAGTGCCCACAAGCAAAATTAAACCAAATAAAAAATTAATAACCATTTCTTAATCTGAACTTGATAAACCTAAACAGGACGATGCTCCAAGATGCAATGTTGTTCGGTTTTAGTTTTTCAAGATACTTATTCTAATATAATGTACTCGATAATAATATATTATTTTCTGGAATATTTCATTTTTCGTTTTGCTAGGCCATGCAAGAGACAGAGGTCATTATTGGTTGGTAACATTGCTAAAAAATGAAAATCAAAAAATCTACACTTTGTTGGTTTTTTTCCAATGAAAAAGTTCGTCTATCAAGTGATTACGAGCTCGGTAACGTTAGAGGTGCGCAAAAGAAAAGAACACATACCAAACCAACAAATCAAAAGACAAAAGATCTGATCAATCTGCCAAAATCTTAAGAAAAAATCAGGGAAAAAATATAAAGAAAAGACCAAGAATGTCCGAGAAAAAAACCATTATCAGACACTGATGAATCAAGTGAGTCCATTATCTCAGAAATAGAGATGCAGAGTAAGTTTGAGACTGTTGAAAGTGTACCTGATAATCATTCTGATGACTATAATAGTCCATCCTGGAGTCCATCATTAAATATTGAATTAGAGAGTTACTATTCTGTATATTACGATGAGATTTGGCAGATAGGACGAATAGTGGAAGAAGAAAACTTTATTTGACCAAAAGCTGCGGATGTCCTATGAGGCTATATCCATGAAATGATATGGCCCTTTTCCCATACAACATCCAAAGGCATGCATGATTGAATAAAGATACAAAAAACATAAAAAATTTAAGCAGGTCTATAACAAAGAAACTTAAAGTTACTTGAAAGATTTTCAAAAATGTAAGTATGTTGGATTATGCAATATCGACTGTAATACAATAGGTATTTTGAATATATTATAAATTCGTTCTTTATTTCCATACATTAAATTTCCCAATTATCTAAAGATTTGAAAATAAAATAGATATAACCTAGGATAACAAAAAGATAGTGAGTGCAACATGTATTTAAAGACCTATTCAACAATTATTCAGGAACATATCTTCATAATAATGTAATAGTGGAAACTAAATATCCCTATTTTCCTTCGAAGGACACTCAACAGCAGTTTAATGTCCTTCGAATTTGATTTTGACCCTAATTTTCCATTACCTAAAGCCTACAGTTGCCATATTAGGTTTAGATTACTACTCGGATTACTATAACAATATGTTGAACTTTGAAAGAAATAACTAGAACATGGAAAAAAAATTTATTTGTTAGAAATACTTGGAACTACCTAAGGGAATACTTGAAAATACAATTTAGTTTTTGGAAATGTTTTGGAAATATCTAGGAATATTTAGAAATGCTTGGAAGTACCGCGCAATACTTGGAAATATTGTCGAAATTTGAGAAGTATTCTCAGAAACTGGAAATCACTGTACGTTTTTTCATGAGTGGTTGACCTCTCGATATCAGAAAAAAGATTGGCAGCAATTCAATAGCTTTTGTTTTATTTGATAATTAAATCAAAAAAATCATGCTAAAGCCGAGGCTAAAGCCAAACTGTTTTGCATTGAGTGAATATTTTTTAATATGTTTTAAACTATTTTTACTGTTTGGATATTTTATTGATTAAAAATACTAGTTTTTTCCCATCTGCCAAGATGCGGAAAATATGTGATGTAAATATCAGAATTTGGCTTTGTTTTCAGCACCTGCTTGAACAGAATCATCTCATCACAACTGTCTAAAAATAAACAAGTACATAGATACTCTTTAAATAAATAGGCCAATAGGATTGTGAAAATTGAAAAAATAAATAAAACAACACTACATAGTAATTGGACTTGGTCAAGGCTAAACAGAGATTCAAAGGATAAGCCAAAAGATAAATTAATTACTACATGTGCCTAATTAATCAAGAAAAAAGAATTTCCAGATAAATATGGGAATTATAAAGATTTAACAAACAACACTAGATCAAGCTAACAAAAACAAACAGTTCATGAATTTTATTTACCCGAAAGTAATTTCTGATAAAGAAATTCCTTAGTTTTAAATATTTTGTTACCATAATAATCAAATTTGATTCTTATTTCAATATAATTACATCATATTTCTAATGAAAATGATTCATAAAAATATGTATTATAAACTCGATTTTAAATAAGAGAATAAGGAATTACAAATTTACAAAAATATTCATGAAAGTTGCTTGCAGTATGTTATTAGGGTTAGCAAATTGCATGGAAATAAAAAAAACATGATAAAATCAAAGAAAACAACAAATAACATTACACACGATAAGTTCAATGATTTGCAGAGAACTTGTCGGGGATTCTAAAATCACGATTCGATACACGACTGGACAAGACGATTTTTTCTGACAATCCTAGGTTGAAATCTCATTGAAATCATACGTTTCGAGACAACAGGTGATTTTAGGATCTCAGCCCTTGGTTGCCCAATTTAAACAATATTTCACAATAAAGAAAATCAAACATAAATCAACAACATCTCACCTGTAAAAACTTGGCCATTTCCAGCTTCACTTTCAGATTCTGCTTAATTTTATCCTCCCTCTCAGAAGTAGTCTGAAATGTACTAGGCAACATACCGGGAAACAACTTAATAAACACAGGCAATAGCAATTCCATGAATGGAACAATTATAAATACTGAAAATGGTACTAAACGGAACAAATCACCAACTGTCCGAGTCAGTAGACGATATTCCCTTCTCGTTAAGGTTTTGCCGCTGAGAACGCGCCATACTAGACCTGCTGAGATTTTTACGTCTATGCCAAGCAGTCTGAAGCCGTGATAATAATGGACAATTTCATCGATGATTTTTTGTCCAATTGATTTTTTAACTGCAGGTGGTTTGGCCACTTGGGTGTCTTGAATTTTGGCATCTTCTTTTTGTTTTTTGAGTTCTTGAACTGTAACTTCGACTTTGGAAGATGGTTTCAAAGGTTCCTTTTCAAAAAATATAGGTGACACAGAAATGTATCTAGAAAATTGTTTATTATGCAATGATTTTTGAGTAAACAAATAAGTCCAATTACCTTGACTGTTGTTGACTATTGATGTAAACTAGTTCTTTATTATAATTTAACAAGTTTGCATGTGTGGTAAGTGAATACAATCTTCTTGGTTCGAGGAAGCTAACATTTGCAAAGTGGCAGTTTATATTGCACATGCAAGAGTGGTTTAGGGAATAACTTCTGCAACCTAGAACCCATACGAACAAAATTTAATATAAATCAACAATAATATTAAATTATATAATAAGCAGGGCCCTGTTTAAAGGGATCTCCTAACCTAAATACTCACATCTGATCAATTTCGAACGAGTGCTTTTCAAATTAAAGGATCGCAAAACGACGTACATCTTGTCAGTTGGTTTTAACTGCTTAAATCACCTGAGTTTGTTTTCAATTTGGTATAAAATGTGCCATAAATCAGTGTTGTAACAATAATTATTATTCTTTTATCATGCTCAACCTCTGACGGGATGGGATGACTTCACTTCCGAAAATTTTCCTACAACAAGAAAAAATGACAATTTAATCAGTTTTTGTTTTGACAGCTGACAGTTTACCGGCCGTCGGCTTTTTTTTACTACTGTATTCCTTTTATACATCGAGTTACACCGAACGAGCTCCTCGGAGTCACTCGAAAACACACAATTTAGATTTTACCTACTTTTTCAAGATTCCGGGAGCTTTTACATAACGACGCGTAGATAGCACTTATGCCCGTATTACTTCTGTGTATTTTTCCGTGTATTTATTCATGTATAGTTCAGGGTGCCAACATTATTTTGTTTTTCATAATGCTGATTTATGTTGCGGTTGAAGTTTTTCGGTTGTCACCCTGAACTACATGAATAAATACACAGAAAAATACACAGATGTAATACGGGCATAGATAGTCGTTTTATATTTGGATCGTTTTCAATTCAACAACAAACCGTGCGTTCGTTATTTAGGTCTGTGTTCTCCGAGCTTGACTTTACCGTTTGTTTATTCAAAAAGTGTACTCGGTGCAGGCTCATTCGCGTTCGTTTATTAAAATTTCTGACACTTTTATATAGCGTTCAACTGCTCTGTTCGCTCGCTGGTCACGTGATTACGGCTCCGCTCAGCACGCTCTGCTCTTTGAGCTAACCGTGCGTTCGTTATTTTGGTCTGAGTTCTCCGAGCTTGACTTTACCGTTCGTTTATTTAAAAAGTGTACTCGGTGCAGCCTCATTCGCGTTCGTTTATTAAAATTTCCGGTACTCTTATACATCGTTCAACTGCTCCGTTCGCTCGCTGGTCACGTGATTACGGCTCCGCTCAGCTCGCTCTACACTTTGAGCAAAATACCGAACGCAAGGTAAATACCGAACGCAAGGAAAGACACACTTGTGGCGTTTTCAGTTGGTGGAAAGAGTGCAACAAAAATGGTTATTCATGGCCGAAGAAGTGGGCCGAATACCATACAACATTTTATTTTCAAAGGACTGTCTTTCCTTTCACAACTTGACCACTACTGTTTTTATCAATTATTGGAAAAACAAACAGCCGTCCATAGCAGTCGCCATTATTTAGGATGTACAGAATAATTGTTTTCAAAAGTCGTCAGTATTTAAGTTTGCTCGGAACGCATTTTCCCGCTCCGAACATAAAAGCGCGTGAAAGCGAGCAGACACATCAGTAATTTGTTTTATTTATGCTCGTTTCGTACTTCATTAATGCAATTATTATTAATTAATTAACATAATTAGCACTGATTAACGCTTCTACCGAGAAAACAACGAACACATTACCCCATAAAGAAAAATCTTCATGGTCCTAGGAACATAATGGACTGTTGTTTCTTATTTTTCCGTATCAAATGTTGATTCAAATGATTATAGACATACAACATACCGCTCAAATTCGAGTGGTATCGAAGATGTCATTTTGTAACCGGGTTAGAAAACGGTATGTCATTTCTCTAACCGCCTCGGCGATATGGTTACGTCGAGCGGTTAGAAGAAAAAAATATAAACAACGGTGAGCAGGAAAGTTCGGAAAAGTGTGAACACTAAATAAAAAGTTGTGTATTGTATATATTATCATATTTTATGAATTTGAAGCCCGAAACCTGTTTTCCCTTGTATACAGCCTGATTTACGTAGACCGTGCATTAGAAAATTGTTCCAGTTGGTGGATTAGCATTAATACCACCTAAAATTAAAAACACAAAACAAGTCAAACACCTATACCTAACCTCAAATCGAATTAAAAATAGAGCAATCCAACGACTTGTCAAAATGAAATTCAAAATGGAGGCAAATATGCCTTTTTATTTTGAATAAATGCCGTTTTATTGCGATTTTTGATTTGTATAAAGTCTGTAAACTGTTGATTTTTTGGAAAATGCATACGTTATGTATTGTACTTAGTTGTGGGATCCGTTCTAATCGCGAGAACGTCTTGTTTCATGCCGTTCCTACAGAGACAAAACACAGGTTTTTAACGAAGAAAAACGATTTGTCTGTACTTTGTAAGGGCTTCATGGATTGTAGCAAAAGAGAAAAAATCTGACGAAATCCATATTAAAAAACCAAAAAGTCTCTCTACATAAACGGTGTAATGTATGGATCCAAGCCATTTACTATCCTCTATCCTCCACATCAACTTCTGTCGATACCTTGAATAGCAGGCAAATAAAATAAACATCAGGATTCAGGATTTGGTTAAGAAAAAACGAAACAGGAAACAAATCCTGGATAGTACAAGTACCTACCTAATTGTTTAGTAGGTGAAGGTTTGTCACAAAATCATAACTTTTGCAAACATCCGGGTTTTCCACTAAAAACTTTCCATCTTAAAATACGAAAATAATCCTTCCAAGCACTAGAAAATCATCTAAAAGAACCACAAAATACACAAAAAACAGTTTTTTGATGAAAAATGTCACGAATGTTTGAATTAAATTTATGGCGCCAATTTTTTGGCAATGACCGCCATTTTGTTTGGATTGCCCTAATAACATTTTTCTAACCGTTCGTTTTCAAGTGGCATTTTCATTGATGTCATCACTTGACATAGCGCCCCTTCTCCTTGACCGCCCCTAACCATTTTGTAACCCGGTTTATTTAAACTGGAGCGAAGTGAAGGAACGGTGTTAGGATAGTACGCGACGCACAACTGACAACGTAAACCCGCGTGTGGCTAAATTCAGCTGGTGTAGGCACCGTGGTGGAATGGTAGAACAAGCAGTGTTGTTAAATTGAACAGGGTTTAACAAATTAGCGTTTTTTGGGAAGAAAGTATACTGATGGTATCAAAATGACTAACAGATTAATTTAAAAATTTGAAGTTGCCAATTTTTGTCAGAATTCACCTGTAACATACCCAAATGTTACGCGCTTATTCTTTTATTTACTACTGAACTATTATAACCATATACTACCTTGGTTACGATAATCCTAAACAGGGTCTTAACTCCCAAGGGAGTTAAGAATTTCCATAACTCCCGCTTTTACCTTGAATAGGTGAAACTTTGACAAAAAATAGAAATTTTGGTTTATAGTTTATTCCTTTATGAAAATGGACAAAATATAGTAAATTCAGTAGGAAATAAAATTATCTATGTACCACGGGAATTATCAGGTGTTAATACCCTCATAATTCCCTTGATGCATAAATAACTATTATGCGGAGCGATAAAAATGTTCGTATTGAGCTACTTATTCGCTTTTTTTTTGTAAGAGGAGACATTTCGTACACGGAGCCCCGCCTTCTTTCCTCAGGAAGGAAAGTATTTCAGACATTCAAGATGATCAGGATGAAGCACTGATTCCCTTGCTGCATTAGGCGCCCGCCATAGAAAAACCTTATTATAGAAAGAAATACATTTTATTTTTATTTTTTTTACAAAAATTGTACGTCACATAAAATGCGCTGAAAAAAAAAACATCTAGACTTGCCTTGGGGGGGGCTGCAGCCCGGCAGCCCCCCCCCTGGATACGCCTATGCATTGTACGCTTTACCTATGTTGTCGTGCAGATGTGCTGCTACAAAGTTGTGCCGCTCCAGGTAAGCAGAATTGTAACTTGCATATAATTTGTGGCAAGTGCTTGCTCCTGGCAGGCAGTGATGAGCGCTTCTGTTTCGCTTTTCAGGTTTGCGGTTTTCAGCCATTTCCATGATTGGTTTTTATTTACGGTTTCTTTTTCAGCTTCTAATGCTATCTGTCCATGCATCGCTTTCTCTTTCCATTTTGTAAGTTGTTCCTGTTGCATGTGTTCCTTCAGCCGTTCTTTTATTATTTTCACCCTTTTTGTTGCAGGTAATGCGGATTGCGGGATTGGTGTCTTCTATTCTTTCCCGATGATTTCTCTTTTGTTGTTGTTATTATTAATATTATTTGCGGTGTTTCACATAAGTTGCTTCTTATGGCACCTAGAGCATGAAGCTCACCGAGTGAACACCGTGCACCTGTGGTGAACATTTTATATTGATGTTTCAACAACACCCTTCTTATAATATAGGCTGTTTCCAGCACCAGGACAGTTTTCTGTAGGCTGAGATAGTGGCTTCCCAGGATCTCTTTCATGATTGTATTTGTATAATGGGATATGAGACCTGTCGCTCCTATGACCACTGGGATAACTCTTGTCTTCATGCCCCACATTCTCTCGATTTCCAGTTGTAGATATTTGTATTTCAGTCGCTTACCTGCCTCTTTCTGGTCGATGTTATAATATGACGGGCTAAAGACGTCTAGCAACAGGCACTGCTTCTTAACTTTGTCTTTCAAGACAAGGTCCGGTTCCTGATTCCATACTCCTTACATATATTCCAGTGCAGGTGGGCTGCATTTTGTGGCGTTGTAAATATTCATTCATAGCCAGAATCGAGCAACCTGAGACTATGTGATGGATGGTCTCGCTTTCTGTCCGGCACAGTCTACAATTTTGGTCTGTGCCAATCTTCAGGATTTTGGTTTTGAGATAAGTGGTTGCTATCGACTGCTCTTGACAGGCAGTGATAAGTAGCGACATCCAGGAGTTTGTTTTACTTATGGTTTCTTTTTTGGCCATGCGTCTTCTTTTCTTTCCATCTGTGTATTGTTTCTTGTTTCTTCCTCTCTTTGATTTCAGCTTTGATCTTTTTCACTTTCTTGGTTTTAGACGTCCTACGTGCGCCGGGTGTTCTTGGTGTACCAGAAGTGTTACTTGTTGTAGTTGTGTGTCCTTGTTCCTTCCTTATATTTGGTCTGTAAACCATCCCGAGATATTCAAAAAATCAAATCAAATCAAATATGCTTTATTCTCAGATAAAAACAGTTAGTTCCATAGACAAAGCAGTACTTATAATAAATCTTAATAGTACCTTAATTTAATCTTAAGCCTAAGTTAGAAACTAAAATGAACAGTAAAAAAAATAACAAAATAACAAACAACTAAGTAGCCAAAAACAATTAACAATCGGCGCAAAAAGACAATTAAAAACAAACTCAAAGCTTGAACAAACTAACAGAAAATAAATAAAAGCAACATGAAATTTTAAAAGTTTACATGAGGGAGGTACAAAGTTGTTTATATGCAAATAGTGCAGCCAATTATAACAAATAGCAAAAGTAGATGGTAAAAAAAAACATAAAAATAAAAAACTTAAACAGGTAAAACAGTAAACATCAAATATGTAAAACAGCATCTACAAATAATCATCGTCAAAAAACTCTGACAGATTATAATAAGCCTTTCTCAGGAGCATCTCTTTGACCTTTGCCCTAAATGATTTTTCCGACTGAATGTTTTTAAGATCAGCAGGGAGCTTATTATAAATTTTTATACTGCGGTATATAATTGAGTTTTGTGTCATTCTATATTTATCCTGTTGTTTCAATTCTAAGTAATGTGTGAGCCCCTGTGTTACAATCTTGTGGCCAACCTCTATATTTGTGAGTCCTCTACCGCCATCTCGCCTTGGAACATATAGTCTATCCACATCTGGGCCGGTATTCTGGTTCTCAAAAACGCTCACCGCTTTCTAGTCACTCGGCACTTTGAATGTAAATTTACATTGAAAGTGCCGAGCGACTGAAAAGCGATGAGCGTTTTCGAGAACGAGAATACCGGCCCAGGTATGACGTACACCCGTTTTCTGACGTCAGAAAACGGGTATACGTTTGGTGTACGTCATACCTAAACCAATGACGACGTTTACGTTGTCAGTTGTGCGTCGCGTACTATCCTAAAGCCGCGTATCGATTTCGCGAGGCAGCCGCGCGAGGCAGCCGCGCGCGGCAAAAAACCTTCATTTGTCGCGCGAGCCACTTGAGTCACGAACTTTGTTAAAGCGCGGCTGCCGCTCGCGGCATGTTGTTTAGTTTTCGCGAAGCAACCATGGACGTTCTAGGTGCACGAGCAGCCTGCCGCAATACGTCACTTTGCCGCACCATCCAACTCGAATAACGACACAAACGTCTCAACTTGGTGCCAGCATTTCCTTTGCCGCGCTCCAAAAACCGACAGAAATTGGTTCGCACCGCGGCGTGTTCGAGCACGGGTTGGCTCGCGCGGCAAGTAGTATCCATTGAGCGCGGCTGCCGCGCGAGCCAATGTTCGACAGTTTGCCGCGGGTAATCGATACCCAACTTAAAGCCGCGTACGGGCTTTGCTAGGCTGCCTCACTACTTTTGAAGTGGTAGTAGAAACTAAACACGAGGCAACGCGAGCCGTCATTCATTGACTCGCTCTGAGGCAACAACAATGTCGCTCATAATCAGCAAACACGTACAAAATTGGGAAATGCCGCGCTACGAGGCTTCTTTGAGCACGACCAAAAAACCGACTAAGCAAGGCTCACCGCGAGGCTGCCTCAACGCGGCAGACAATTAGTCAAGGCAGGTACTAATTTTGCGAAGCACGCCTCGGGAGGCAGCCTCGCGTGCGTACGTAGCTTAACAAACCGTACCTTGAAAAGGCGTATTAAGGACTATTCACACACATCAGTTCCGTATCAGTGCTGCGTCAGTTCAGTATCAGTGCTATCCGTGCTTCATCATTGGTGACAATTCACACACATCCGTGTGTCCGTACTATGCTTTCAATGAAATATCAGAATTCAGGGATCAAACGCAAATTCCAATCGGTTTCTGTCAATGAAATAAACAAAATATCGTTGCCGACTTCAATAAAAACACGGAACTGACACTGACGCAGCACTGATGGTAAAAAAACATCACTGCGCCGGACTTGTCTAAACAGGTTCATTTGAGACTAGGCAACGATATTTTATTTTTCACTGCCACTGAACTGAAACGGCACTGATACGGAACTGACGTGTGTGAATAGTCCTTTAGTGTGGTTGCCAGCGTTGCCAGACGTCTAGAAAATCAATGCGTACGGTAGTACGGTAATGTACCACAGTTTTGAAATATTAAGTTGATTGGGTGATATTTTATGGTAATATGTACCACATTTCTAAATTCTCCTTTTTTTATTATATTATGTGTTGGCCAAATTGGGTTTGGGTACCTTGCTTGACCACCTTGCACCTTGACAACCTTGCATGTGTATATGCTGGGTTATGTGATGTGTCAATTGTGTCATACTCCCCTAACTACCTCGCCATCAAATTCTGGGCCTGCGAGTGACGTCACTATCAGCAGCTTATAGTGATGACGTCGCCCGCAGACCTCGATGGAATGCTTGCAATTTAAGCTGTGCTAGTGATTTAATTTTTTTGTCGATTTTAAATGTAAAAAAGGTGATTTTCGGTTCGTTCTCACAGAAGAAGAAGAAATAAAATGTTCTTGATCTTCCAGTATCCCAGAATTTGATGGTGGGGGAGTTAGGGTAGTAGGACACAATTGACACATGACATAATCCAGCATCAATGTGACAAAAGAATTTATTTCAATTTGACTAAGTACCCACAAAGTACCCTAATAAATTTTATAAATAGTTCTATTTGATTTCCCTTTACTCTTGTTGCTGTAATTTTTATTGTAAGGGCTATTTTCAAGTTTTCAACATTTTGCGCTCTCAAAAAAAATCATATTTTTTATAGTAAATGTATACTAAAAATGTATTATGTAAGGTAATGTGTACCACAAGTATTCGTGGCGCGTACGTCCCCGTACGACAGTTTTTGAGCATTGGCCGCGTTCACCAGATACAAACGTTGGTAAACGGTTTGCGATTGTTCTACTGAACACTATGTTGAATTTGTGTTAAAACCTACAGTGACTCTATAACCCACAGTGGCGACAATTGCTGTCTCATTTTTGATTGGTTCTAAAATCCCATATATTATATTGAAAACACCGCCATCTTGTTCCCAACCCCTTGTTACTTTTTAATATGAATATATGGGATTTAGGTGAACATCCATCATAAATCATGGAAAATAACGTATTTGATAGACCTAATAATGGTCATCAAATACGTCGATTTCAATTTTTTATGATAGATGTCCATTTGAATCCTATATATTAATATTTAAAAGTAACAAGAGGTTGGGAACAAGATGGCGGCGGGACCTCTATTGTCGCCACTGTATGTAAAGGTTTATTTAGCCACTGTATTAAAACCAAACATGTTTTGCAAACGGTCGCCATTTTTGCAAGCATAATTTCAGAGTGTTTATAATTTTCAACACTGTGTTTTGTGTGGTGACCTGTCATTCAGATGGTGACGTTCTATCATTGAAAAGTTGAATCGTTCAGCAGAACCAAGAGTTTACCCAACATATTCTGTTGGTATTTGTAAACTGTTTACAATCCGTTTTGGTTCTGGTGAACGTAGCCATTTGTGTACTACACTTCCATATTTAGAGTCTGGCAACGCTGGTAGTTGCTGTTCTCAGTACCAAATCTTCAATGGTGGTGGATTAAGCACAGTTTTTTTCTGTTCCAACAGGTTTTTGATTTATGTGGGAACCAAACCTTATTTGCCACACTTTTACCCAGGGATGTGCGTCTACACGTAGACTTTCATTGTTCGTTCCAACCCAGCCAAAAACCGTTCAATGTACGGTCACGGTCATGCGCCATAGGTTAAACGCGTTCCAACCGAGAGATGATCGTTTACCGTACAGTTTCGTTGGCGTTCCAACCAAACCTGGGATCGTTCGAGAACTGGTTTTAGCACCGTCATTTCGATCCCGAGTAGAAAGCAAGAACCGCGTGGACTGATCCATGACTGACATGCGTAATTCAATGTTTGTCACCTGTTGTTGTTGTTAAACAACCAATTTCCAATCTAACTTATAAAACTGTAGCATTTTTATTTTTTCAAGTGAAAAAAAGTACAAAATTTATTATCAGCTATTTATTGCTAATCCTTGATGTTATCAGCTTGCATGGATTCAGTTTCAGATTCTTGATATGAATCAGCGTTGGTGTTCGATTTTCCTTTTTTATATTTTATTTTGTAATCCTAATCCTATATTCTTCTATTTTAATTTGCAAACAAACAAATTAATGGTTAAAGTTATTTGAACTGTCGTCATTACGAAAACGATCATAAAACCGTTCCAACTACCCGTTGTTTCTGTACCAAGATAAAACCGTGCAAGGTCAACGCATGCGCCTGCAATCGATCCTAACAGTTCCGAAACCGTTTCATGACGATACGAAAACGGGGGGTTGGAAGGAACCTTGTCTACTTTACGTGTAGATGTAGACAATGTAGACAACGTGTCAACAATGTAAAATAATATAAATGACGTTTAATTCTAACCTCACACTTTCCTTTTTCTTAATTATTTTTATTTTATTATTGGTTTTTCTGATGAAATGCCAATATCGAAGTAATAGTGATAGTATAGTAATTTTTTATATTTTTTTTCGATTTTTTTAAAATAAGTTATTGTTTACGCCGCATGTAGACAATGTGTAGACAAATGCTCACGTAGACAATTCGAATTGTCTACGCGTAGACAATCAATTGTTTACGTTGACATTGTCTACAGGCACATCACTGCTTTTACCTGGATTTGAAGAAGAAAGGTCCATAGATGTATAAACAAAAACGCAAACTTTTTGATCTCAAAATTTTTATTAGTGATTGTTTACATAGGTATTGCATCCATTGAAGTTGCCTTTGAAAATTGCTGTGTGTAGATTATTTTGAATCGAGTCAAAAAGGTAAAATTCAATATTCCTTGATAAAGTAAATTTGAGCAGTTTGAAAGCAACTTCTTTGAATTTAAAAAAAGTGTAAGTTTCAAGGAACACTTCGCTTTTTCTTAACATTTTAATCTTACAAAAAATCCTATGTTTTTTATACAAAACTTTCATTTTATTTATAGAGACCAAATGGAACTTAAGTAACTATTATAATCAATGTCTGGGCTTTCACAAAATAACATGATATCTATTAATAGAAATATTTCTACTAGAATCACATAATACACGTTGAAGCCAATCAGATCTAAATCTGATAGGCATTATTGTTGAAATATGTTATTAGATCTGAATAAACCCATTAACATTAATAACGTTGTGAATCCATTTACTTATGTCACTTATTAGAAAATATAAATAATAATGATGTTTCAATTAATAATCAGCAATAATTTATTGGTTCTTGTTTTTTCTTTTCTTTGACAATGTAATTGGAACCAATAGTAGTTATGCGATATATTTTTATAATCTACACTTATAACAAACGTTAAGGCATATCGTTTAAGGTTTATTATTCAAATGGTTATACTATTTTAGTTGGAAAATAAAAGATAATTGAATATATTTTGCTAATGAGTTAACAAAAATAAAATCCAGTGCAATGGTTAGATCAAGATTATTCATTGACAGTTAGTGATAACTTCCAATTATCTTAACCAATCGCACTGCACATATTATTTGTGGTATTTTTTAAAATATATTTTGGGACAAAATATATATTTTTCTAGGCAAAAATAAAGGGCCCAATAGTTCAAAGGGCGGTTTATTATTGCAAAAAAAATAATAGTGGTTAACTATATTTGACTGTTTTAAGATTATTGAAAAATAAACCCGCTTGATTCAATCATTCAATAATTTAAAAGTCGGAGTTTTCAGAAAAAACTAATTTAATTCTAGTTTAATCTAGGATCTATGAGCACCAATCGTGCGCACCCAAAATGGGTACATAGAATATTTCTATATGATTTTCTTGTTTCGTAATTTTAACAGTTAGTTAATGGGGATAGAAAAATAGTGGGTTACGTCCCAAATTTCTTTAAAAATTTGTAATGGATTTCCATTAAGTATCAGCTAAATCCATGCTAAATCAATCTCTCTCTATTGTTTTTGGATAGGCTTCCTTTTGGACATTATTTGCCACCCACTATCTTAGGTTTTGAAAGTTGTACTATAAGATCTGATCCAACCTATCAAAAACCACCCCGAAACTACTCTGTATACGAATTTCGGAATCTATGCACAAATATTAAGGTATTATAAAGTTTCCTGCTGTGTTGGAACAAAGCTATAGAAAACCAGTTCAAAAACCATCAGAATATTTGAAGAGGCATCTCTGACATCAAAAGAGGATATTGTGAGACTTAGTTAATTATTAGAAAATCAACCATTGATGTTTCTTGAGCCACTACTCCTTTAATCCCCATCAACTCAAGTACTGAATAATTACGAAACAAACTGACCCTTAAACTAAAATTTTAGACTGGTGCTCAGTCACTATTACTTATAGAAAACAAATAAACTCGATATAACTTCTAGAATTCAAAGAAAATTGATTATAGGCACCTATTCATACTGTACTTTCACGCTTAAACCATACATACATGTTCAAACCAACAAAATAATATTTTTTATCTGGATATTCTAGCTGCCCTATATTTTTTTTATTAATTTTTTTTTTGGAGCATTATTATTTTCAATTTTAATCGACCACAAAGGCTGAAGAAGCCTAGGATTTTTTTTTAAATTATTTTTATTAGTTTTTTTTTTTGAATTTGTAATATTTTTTTTTAAGTCTGTACAAGCTTACTAGAGACAGATACTTCAAAATTTTGACATGTATATGTATTAAAGGACCAACAAAAAAACCTATTTCTTGAAAAATTAAATAAGGAAAATGACCGCCTCTAGTTGCGTTTATAATAAGAGTTATTCCTAACAATCTAAACTAAACCATCCAAACAAAACACATAAACCAAAAGAAAAAAAATGATGATATTTTTTAGTTTTCTTTATATACAATCCTTAAGAGCCGCAAAATAATGCCCTTAGTTACGATTTTAAATTAACGTGATTGTGTGTTATGTAACACTTGAACTGTAAAAACGCTTTCGGGTCCGCCACTATTTTTGAATTAGTGTGACATTTTTACAGTGTGTTTCTATCATTAAATAGCTCCGTGTGGCTATTTTTCTTTTTCCTGGCAGACCTCATGTATATTATAACATTATACAATGTGAGAAAAATCAACAAAAACGTGAAAATAAAAGGAAAAATAACAAACAAAAAAAAAATGGCGATCTTTAGAGATTTTGATGAAAAAATGTAACAAAAAAGTTTTTTTGTAATATACTCTAAACTCATTTAGTTTGATCTCAAGCTTCGCAGGGTATAGTTAAGAAGCAAATGATATTTGAAGCTATAATATTCTTGATTTTTCAGAATTATCACTGTTGTGAGAATTACACCGCGTTTCAAAGCAGAAGCCTTAGAGTGGCCTCAGACCATGTTATTTCGAGCAATTAACCCAGTATTGGCTAATATTTTTAGTTTGTTTTCCATAAGATTTCACTCGAAGAAGATCTCTTATCTTATCAATCACAGCTATCGGCTCTCAGTGATAATTTTGAACAATTACTCCAATAATTGATTAGTGCATGTATTACAAAAGTTCAGATTTCGAGCATATTACTCAACAACAACAAACGAAAACAAAAAATAAAACTAGATCGCCATTACTCTGAATATAACTACTGATCAACAACAAAGTTATATTTATTTAGCACAGACTTGAACACGCACGATATTGAAACACGCAAAGGAAAAATTAAAAGGAAAATTCAAAAAGAAAAGTCATTTTCTAAACTAACTGAATCTTAAGGCCATCAACATCAATATTGTCAATAGCCTTAAAACCGCGCCTAATTTTACTAAGTCTATATCTTGTTTATATACAATAATATTTTGTTACTTGTATAAACACACAAAAAAATTGGCGTCAGTATTGCGTTTTATCTAATGCACCTGCGCATGTTATTTTTTATTAATATATTTTTTTTTTGTTTGATTAATTTTATTAGTTTGGTTCTCACTACCAGCTTAAAAATAAATTTCTCGAAACGCGTAAAAACATATTTCGTTATCCCAAAACAAAAATTGCCTATATTTTTACCTAACTTAACTGAAATTATAAACATGTAAACTAAGCGGCGACGTAACACCGACAAAAAAAAACTTCTAGCCACGCCGCCATGTTCATAGTATTTTTAATAATAAACATATATGTACACACATTTATTATCAAAGCCACTGAAGCATTTTCGTAAAAAATAGGAGCGACTTGCGATGGACCAGGACAGATTATTTTTAAAAAATTTCATGTCTGTTTTTGGATGTAAAAGCAGACCAAAAACATTTTTTTTTAAAACACATTCTGCACTAAAACTAATATGGCAGTTGTCACTCGTGTATAGATGGCCTCCTCTGTTTGAGGATGGAGCCCCTGTTAAATCTGTCGGTCCAACTTTTTTTTAATTTCAAAGCCATTTTTTAATTCATATACTGTTGGGTGACAGCACAACCATAATCTCCATAAATAATTGGCAAGACTGTGTTTCTTTTTGAGTGTAAAAGACTCAACGTTGACACTAAGACAAGACTGTGATGCTTTCACTTGGTCATTCTCTGTCGCCCAACAGTACTAATATTATTACAAAACCAATGGGAAACTGTCGAAACAAAACAAGCAATTGAATGTGTGGATAAGCATTTTACTTCAATTTCCCAAGGGTTTTGCTTGTTAATAAAAAACTAACTAGGGTGGTTACCGCTTTTTTTACAAAGTTACCGAACGGCGCGTGGGTACAGTAGGCATATCATTGATGAGGCAGTCTTCTTGTAGACGAGTGGCAAAGCTCCACATGTCCGTGTTGTTATTCATGTAGCTAAAAAAAAGCATATGGTTAATTATTGCAATATTCAGTTAAATCACAAAATCTAAAATGGATCAATGAAAAATTATAGTCGTATTCATAGACAATAAAAAATAAAAAGACCTTCAAAAGTATAGCCGAAATAGGTTATACTATTACTGCGCATCCGGTTGCGCATAGCGCATTGCGGAATTTTTGGAAAGCTAGAGACTTACGAAAGATCAGTCCGATCATTCGATTCTGTTTCATCTTTCTCTGTCATACCAATTCACAAGACAAGGACACCGTATGAGTTACAGAGCTTTCCGAGCTGTTTTGTAGAAACCTATCAAACAGCCATAACTATAGAAACTGTGACCGAGAAAACAAATAAGTAACCTTAAAATAACGACATTTCCGTGTTGAAATTTGTCATTTTTAACCGATTGGGCGGTCGTCTAAGAAGACTCGAACTCACAAAATCTAAAGAACAAGAAGAAGAAATTGACATTTTTATTAAGGCACTTGGTATTGCAGACCTATAATATATGTACAACTAGGATAAATTGAACCAGTAAGTATACATGTTAGTTTTGTGATATACGTTCAATACGGCATATTTTTGTACTGTTTTAGGAGACCTCAGTCAGAAGAGATATAATGTAGATGTCAGGCCTTGGCCAGCTTAGCTTGTACATACATTAAAGCATGTATAAGGGATGTAATAACTGTGTTTGTAAACTCTTTAGGTATTTGACCTATCTAGCTATAATATATATTTTTTCTAGTACAATTTAGTGTTTATTTTTCCTTTTTTTTTAATCTACATGAAAAAATGGCACCAAACTTTATGGAGTACCACGTCATTTTTCTCATTCGGATTTGAGAAAAAAAGATGTGGAACAACATAAGTACGTTTTTTGTGCAATCAACTCAAGTCAAATTTCAAAATTCCCGCCATTTCAGTATTTGTTCCGGCTGCCCCTATTGACGCCACCGTCGCTGTGACGTCAGCGCTATACAAACTTTCATGTTATCAATCAGGTACTCTTACCTTGATTTATTATATTTCTCTATGGTCGTATTCATGAGAGAGTTTGAATTTTGACCACTATTTTCACCAGTTGAAAATAAATAAAATCCCCAGATCTGTCCCTTTTTCTGACAACTATCAAATAATGATACATGACATTTTGATTTGACACATAAAAATAACAGATTCGGGTCTTTGAATTTTGAATTTCGAATTTTTGTGTGAAATCTTTCAGTTTTTTGCCGTTTACTGCATTATTTTTGGTAATAATGTATATCACTTTCCTAAATACGACCCTGTCGTTTATCCCAGCTGATGGAATCGAAGCGCTAACGCATGCTGACAACCTAAAGAAAAAGTTTACTAAAAATGTCAACGCGAACTGTCAACTTCACTTTCTATCGTGATTTAGGGCCAAATTACAATATATTTGCATCTGCAAATTTGCAGTTCTGCAAATATGGCCGACTTGCATATGTGCTCTATTTGCAGAAACGAGCAAATTACAGAAAAAATCTGCAATTTCGTCATATTTATCGGAAAAAAGTGTTCGTGCGCTACTGATTTACCAGTTTTAAATGTCAAAGCTGTCAAAGTGATTGCAAGGACTTACGGGACCGTTTCACCACAGCATATACAGAAACAATCAGCAGGCTAACTTGAGTGACAGCCCGTGTAATAAAGGAATTCATCGTCAAAATGTCACTAGAGGCCATTTTGGGATACGAAACAGGGCCTGATTAACAATAATTTTGGTTTATTCTTTCCTGTGACAGAGTCGTATTGGCTTTAAATAAACTAATTTATTATTACTTACATAATATAATAATGTTTATAATTACTAATTTATTATTATTATTGAATATACAAGAATGATAACACATAACACCATAAATGACAACACGAATATATCAAAATCATAGCTAAAATTCTGCTCTACACCGCACGCCTATGACCTCCGTCAGAAATAAACAAATAAAATAAAATTTCGGCGCTCCTGCCGTCATAACGACAAAATGGTATCCCCTAATGGCGGCGTGCGCAGAAAAGATGCGCGTGAGAGTTAGCCTGATTGTTTTTGTATATGCTGTGGTTTCACCATGCGCAAATTTGCAGGTAACTTGCAAATGCATTCTGCTTCTGTAATACGAAAAGTCAGACTTGCAGGTCCTGCATTTATATCTTGATGTTGCAGAGCTTCTGTAATTCCGGGCTTAGTCTATAGCTTATGTTTCATCAAGAAAACGGTTGAGCTTCAAAGTTTTTAAAGCAATCTTATGACAAGCACAGAAACCATGCCAAAGACCTTAAAATGGCAAAAAGGGCCATCGCAAACAAAGTTAGAGGTGCACCTTTACTTAAGCGTGGTGGTGCCAAGTGCACACAGGAAAAAGGGAGGATTCTTGTAATAGGGGATCAAGTAGCAGAGGTACTTCTGTTTTCTTATTCTTGGAACAGGGAAGCAGCGTTACCAGGAGAACGAGTATTCCGTTTTTGTTACATATATTATCCCATATCATTGAGAAAGATGGAACACTTCTTGTTCTCCTGGGAACGCTGCTCCCCTGTTTTAGGAATAAGGACCCCAGCCTCTTGGATATTCATCTGGACAAAAGGCTCTATGACATCAGAGGCATTCTCAGCGCCGGTTTAAGCATTAGGCGGACCAGGCGGCCGCCTAGGGCCCGGGCGCTCAATGGGGCCCGAAATTCACTCTGAAATCAAATATCTTATTTTGGCAACCTTGCGCCCTGAGACGCACCACACCACCCGAATTACGCACACTATCGGCAACACTGTTCTGTAGCTGTGGGATTCCCAACCCAGGTAGAGTTGCTGATGAACATCCGTTAAATGAGTAATAGATGATAGATACGAGATGTTCCACTACCCAGAGAGCACACAAAGTCTTGAAGACGTCTTTTCTAGGGTCTGTATTATGTAGGGTTGCGAACCCTCCCGATTTTTTTTTACTAAACCTCCTGCCTCCCGCGCACTTAAACAAAACTCCCGCTGTCCTCAAAAATATAAATTACATGAAATTCCGAATCAGGTGCCCTTATTTATTTTTACCATAATTTTAATACTTCATTATAAATCTGGCAACCCAACGCAAATGGGGAGCTTATCTTATTGCATCTTTCTTTATCTCCAATACCAAACGAAGATAGATTTACTCAAGCTTGAGAGTTTGGGCATCTAATCTGAACTGAATGTATTATTTATATTATAAGGGGAGTTTGAGTTCCAAAAATTCTCTGCCAAGCTCCACTTTATTTAAGCCAGGTTCGGTTGACACGGTCCAAGTATATTTGGAGTCTTGGACGCTGCGCACGCCTCACTTGGACGATACTTGGATTGTATTAACTGTTTATCCAAGTCCAGGATAGGTCCGTAAGTAGGCTGGCTGCCAATTTACTTCGTTCAAGTAAGGTCCGTTTCTCGAGGGTTCATACTTGTGATATCGAACACGTCATAACTTGAAAAAAAAAGGGTTGTCGTAGATTGAAAGTGTTTTTTCTCGACCCCAGCAGTTCGAAATAATTTCGAAATCTGTTTTGAACCTTTAAAAATGACATCATCACTTTCATTCGAGAAAAAATGAGATTTTCAAACCAGAAGAATTTAACCATACATAACCTAGGATTTTTGTTCGTTTTTTTTTTTTGTAGTAGCTATAGCCTATTTTCTATTTTTCAAAAAATGTTAGAAGTGTTCTTTTCATGATTCTATAACCTCCGTCAAAAGACACAACACAAATATAAACATAAACAACAACCTGTCAACTTTCCTAAACTATTGCGCATGAGTTTGTTTTTGAACCGAGGCGAAATCTCGTTTCAAAATATTTTCAAACAGTTTTGTTATGACGTCATTAGTTCAACGCGAAAATGTAATGTTTTGAATTAGGTTCAACCTGGGGGCGGATTACGAACTCTCGATTCGAACCGAAACCGCCATGGATTTCGAACGCACTCCATGCGAATGCATTAGAAAGCGTTCGAGATCCATGGCGGTTTCGGTTCGAATCGAGAGTTCGTAATCCGCCCCCTGGTTTAACCAATTTAAGCGAGAAAAAACACCTTAAATCATTTGACACATTTAATTTTTTTGACAAATTAAAATGAATGACCTCTGACTTAATTTGTTTCAGTCAATTTCTATTTGTTAAAAAAAGAAGACAAAAGCACCACTGGTTTCAGAGATAATGGACCTTCCCGTTACTTTTCGCACACTCTGTATAGTATGTGATAAAATGTGACAAAATTAGGGCGTGGCACCTCAACAAAAAATTCTACCTATTCACTACCTCCCGCTTTTCAATTTTGAAAATATGGCAACCCTAGTATTACGTCTGAACGTCTGAAGACCAAAAAAAGACGCCTAGAAGGCAGTGTTCCCTAGAGCCGACTCCACACAATAGTCTGTCTCTGTAAAACAAAAACTGAATTAACTAGTTGATCACTGGTAAAACCCCAAAATTCAATGCCATATCTGGAGATGTGACTCAACAAGTTCAAAGTACACACCCCTTGCAATGTCATGACCCAACTCATTACGAACCTGAAGGCAACCATAAACATCAAAAAATGGGAAAATCAACATTGGGGTGATCCAAGGTTCCACACTGGGACTTTTACTGTTCCTACTATTTATAAATGACCTGCCGACCTTGTGCGTCAAAGCTACCTTCACACTCTTTGCGGACGACACCACTGCAACATGGTGCAGTGAATATAATTTTTTTGGAATAATGCCTAAATGTGATCTTAGGTGGGATATCCATATAAATCTATTAGAAAATAAGTTGGCTTCAGCTACTTAAATTGACACAACGGCAGCAAAGCAAACCTAGTACGCTTTATTTGAGAGTCATCTACGCTATGGAATCATTCTTTGGGGATACTCTACAACATCAAATATGGAACTAATTTTTGTAATGCGAAAGCGAGCCATATGTATCCTAAAAGGCATTAAAAGCCAGACCACACATTGTAAGCCACTTTTCCGAAAGCTCAAGTTCCTCACCATATACCTTTGTATTTAAGAAAGCTTGCGTTTTATACATGCAAGCATCAGTTTATATAATAGACGAGGCGATACGCATCCCTACAGTACGCGACAGAACAACACCTTGAACCTTCCACAGGCCAAATCGTCACAGGCCAAGAATACGATATTTCATCAAGGAAAAGCATTCATAATAGACTGCCACAAGAAATTAGAGAGCTGAATCTGCATTAATTCGCACACATTCCTGGCACATAGAACTCACTACAGTTTCCAAGAATACATGGACGTAAGATTCGAAAACTGAAAAATTTCATTTGGCTAGTCAGCTTCAAAGGAACCATGTCTCATGTGTTTTATTAAAATATTTCATATTATTTTGTACATGTATAATTTTCATTTTTATAATTATTATTTTTTTAAAATTATTTTATATTTAACTGTAGGCGTAACTATTATGTTATACAGCATATGTATTGCCTATTCAATAAACACGATTGATAATGATGAAAAGACTGACAACTATTTGAACAAAATCTAAGATAAATCAACAAAAAATTAGCTTACCTGTGACGCCGTTTCTTCTCGCGGGGACCATCATCATTCTTAACCGGCTCATTAATCTTCAACACCACATTGTTCTCAAACTCCTCTTCTTCCTCATTCACCATTTTGGCCGCTAGTGTCAGTTGAAGACTGTTTAAATCAGATAGTAAACTTTCTGCTTCTTCATTCATCTCTTCTCTTAGTTTATCATCAATTTCGAATTTGGCCTTGGTTTCCCCTAGCAGAGTCGATTCTTTGGCTTTTGTATCCCATGTGGAACCAGTCTTTAAATAATATAAATTTGATTTAAAAAAATGTGTTGCTGGAATTGATATCGTTTATAAATTCTCACCTTTGGTTCACACCAGATATCTTTCATAGTGTCCCAATCCGATAAGCTTTTGTTAGCAAGATTTTTTGGCCAGGGGTATTTTGCGTTATGATTTTTCCAAATTTTCGGGTCATAGCTCCAATCGATTTCATCAGTTTCGCACAAACTGTTTGCACTATCGTGATCTTCAAGTTCTCGGCCTGAAAAAATATAAGAATAAAACAATTAACATTTTGCTAAATTGAATAACTCAATCAGATAATTTGGAAGAAGACTTACATTTGGAATCAAAATTGTTTTCTGAATTCCCAACAAATCTTGGTCCATGTTCTCCGTATTTATTTTAACACAAAAAAAAAGTACAACAGAATTAACTCTTGTTCCAGATCAGAGGTCAATATTGCTTACTTTTCTTATGTTAAATTTATAATAATAAATGAATCCTCACCTAATAATTCCTCTGGCGAAGTATTCCAGTTCAAAACGTCGCCATCGTCAGAATCTACAGTATCGCGAAAGGCATCCCGGTAATCTGCAGATGTGCCTAACTGGGCATCTTCATGGGACTCATTGGGATTCTCTGACGTTTGGCAACTTTTGTCGTTGGATTTAACCCAAAATTTGACGATTAATTCAGATCGTTCTTCCTCCGACGAATTCTCTACAGGCTTATGATTTGGCGATCGCCACTTATATTCAAGGTACTTCTTGCTCACTCCAAATTCTGTTTCAACCATTAGAGACCCCGAGGAAGACCTTTGAAACTTAACCTGAGAATAGTTTGTAATAATGTTATAACAAAAACAAAAAAAAAAAATCTTACCTTATCAATATTGGCGTTTATCAGGAAAGTGGTTCCATCCTCATAAACTTTCTCTTCCTTCTCTGCTGGCAAGGGTATTTCTTTTATAGGTTTAAAGAAAATATCTGGAGAAGATTTTTTTTGATCTTCAGATACCCAGAGAGAAGAAGAGGCTACTGGCACTTTCCGCACTTCTGCTGGGTAAGGCCGTTTGATAGGACGACCAAAAGGGCGACTGAATGGACCATTTTGAAGAAAGGGAAGATGGATTGGCTTTGAATACTCCTTGAATGCGCTGCTACACTATAGGAAAAAAAAAAAATGGAAAATATACATAATTTATATATTACAATGTTTTATTTAAATGAGAGCTTGCACATTTATAATCAGTTCCAATGTAGAAGTTTCAGCATTAGCTTCAGCGATCTTGGTGGAAAAATGTCATCATTAAAAAAATCGAATAATTGAAAATATATATTATTAGATTATCTATTTCTACTTACCAAGCTATGGTTAACCTTCATCAACCTCAGCATTTTGTCCGACACAAACGAGCTACAATACGACAGTTCTGTCCCAGCTTGATTGTTGCAGTTGGAGTCGTTTAAGCAGTGAGGGCAAAAGGCGGATGGGAGACTTGGCCTGATCACAAGTTCCAACGCTCTATTGGCGTTGTTCTCTCGAATAAATTCATCATCTAAGAGACAGAGAACGAAAATTTAAGCAATTGAAATTTTTGAATTGATAAAATAACTATGAGTGATAGAGTCATCAGATATCATAGAAATTTCAGCATTAGCTTCAGCGATCTTGGTGGAAAATCATCATGTTGTTAGTTTTGTTTGAATAGCTTCAAAGTGTATTGTATAATCAATGAATTTTGACTTTACTCACCCTGCCTTTTGATACTGTCTTTATTAATTTCATTGAGTCCGTATGCGTAACCTCCATCTTCTTTAAAATCAATAATTGTTTCGTTCCTGTTAGAATCCCATAGGCTGTCCAAATGGGGCGCTGAAGCAAGATGTTTGTAATACCCGTACGGCCGATCATTGTATTCATCCTTTATTGCAGATTCCTCTCCTCTTTGTGTTGGTTCGTGTTGCTGATACTCTTCACGAATAGCGCAGTCTTCGCCATCCAATTGCCAAGACGTTAATGAATCTAAACAAAAAATATATTGTATATTGAAAGGTTAGAAAATAGTTTGTATATTTACGTCTTTGAAGCGCACCATCTTGTACTGTTGGCTGTCCATATTCAAAATTATTGTTGGCCCATTTATCATTATTATTATTATTTATAGGTATTTTGTTATCAGACCAAATAGTTGAAGGATATAAAGAAAAGTATGTAGGTGCTGGTTTCTTTTCGTAAAGGCGCTTTCTTTTTGACGAAGTATCGGCCTAAAAAAGTACATAAATCAATATCTATTAGGAAATATTGAAAAGTTAACTTACTTGGACTGGTTTGAGATCCGTTTCAGAGTCAACATTTTCCAACCACTCGTGAATCCTGCATATTGGGGAATCGTCGCACATGTCTACATCATCAGGAAACGCTTCAGCCATAATGGGACTCAAACACTGATCTGAAAGAAATAATTGAATAAATGTGGAATGATAATATGATATTCAAATGGTTCAAGGTAGGCAAAAGGTAGCAAAAAACCTTTCTCTGTTGGAGATTCCTGTCAACATAATCCGTGCGGAAACTTAACAAATCAATCACCTGCTAGTGTAAATATCTTTAAAAAAATCAAGAGGACTTGTGTTTTACCAATTTTGCTAATGTAAATAGATGATCAAACTCTGCTCCTGTACAAATATGCTTTAAATCACAGATCTTAACTTATTGTTCACTTTTAAAGGTTCAATGATTGTTGAGTTATATGTTTTATATTGTATTTTATGTATGTCTAATACACTTCAATAACTATTCCCACTATTTTCACTAGAATGTCAGTGAGCCCAATCCTACTGCAAGTTGAAATAAATGTCGAAAGAAGAGACTGTATCAATAGTTGGGAGCCTGGCCAAGCTAAATTATACACAAATCATTAAAAGGTTATTAAAGCCACATTACAAACAAAAATAATTATTTTCCAAGTAAAACAAACCTCAAGGATGCAAACCAGAATAAAAGCCAATATCTTATCGAACACACAGTTCCCACTAGAGCAAATTATTTCAATAGTTTTTGATGGTGGAAAATAATAGTTTACATAAAAACAAAGCTCTAAATCATATTCGAAGCTGATCTTTGAGCAAACTGAAAGGGCAAGGCTGCTCCCACTATTCAAGAAGGCACTTAATTGGTTTCTAAAGACATCCAGGTACTTGTTAATGAGAAAACGAAATTCCAGTAAGGCCCTAATAAATGAAAAGGTTTTGCAATATTATTTTTCAGGCCTTTTGTATATTTCAATGCTAATTTGCATAAACAGACAGGCATAACAAGATTTTACTTGAAAATAATAATGAAATCAATAGCAATGTTTACCATAATTTGAAGGGTATCATAATAAAGTGTATCCTTTTAGGCGTTTACTAAGGCTGTGTAGTTTTGAAAATAAATATGATTACCAATCATGGACTCGGTCACTCTTGCTTGGATAAGTATTTGATTTTTATTCAGAGGTTTAATGAACAATAATTGATAAACTTTGTACAGCTGTCATAATCAAAAGAATTTAGTAAATCTGACAAAAACCTGTCAAATGTTGACACTTACAAGGACTTGTGGGGCATGTTCATAAAATTGCAGTGTTGGAAAATAGTCTGAGGAAAATATCATAAAAATATGGTCAGTTTGATATTTTATCCAGTATTTGTATCTGTGACAAATGTTTCTACACAATTTTGACATATAAATGCCGATAATGACATTAATTAATGGCTAAAAGTCTGGCAATTTTTTAAAATCATCAATGCACATTTACACCAATGTAATGCTGTCTTTGTCATTTGACAGCAGCAAAACAAGGATAGGTGAACTCATCAAGAGAAATGTGCATAAGCAAATGATGAATTTGAAAACTTGGCCCTGCTGCCGGATTACAATTTCACTAGTCGATACGAGTCGAGCGTTTTTTATATGGAACTTCAACGTTATTTCCTAGTCGCATCCTTCGACTTCGAGTAATAGACCTATCTATTTTACCAGACAAAGAGGTAATAATACAAAAACTTTATTAGATAGAAAAAGACGCAGAACGCTTATTGCGCAAGACGAGGCAAAACGTACCAAATTATGTTAGACTTACGTATAGCAATCCGTTCTTATTATTTGCACGGGATAAAAAAAGGAAGGAGGAAAACCGCGTGACATGCAACGCATTTGTCAATCAAAAACACAAACAATTGAAAATCGATCACTTGTCAAGCTACGTCAAGGTGAACATCAGGCATAATTTTATCCTTGTCAGACCACGGGCAATGAACAAGGACAAGGAGATGCCCAGCGTGCAAAAGGATTACTTCACACCTGTACTAGTTAGCCAATAAAAATGCATTGCCTCGTGTTGCGCGCGCATACAGGTAAAAATAGATAGGTCTATTATGGCGTTTCCGATTGGTAGATCTAGTGCGGAACTAGTGCAATTTTTTCTATTTCTGTCTTTTTCTTCTACAGGTCGATTAAAAGGATGCAAATACACTCAGTGCGCACTGAATCTACCAATCGGAAACACCATAAGTGCAATTTTTTCTATTTCTGTCTTTTTCTTCTACAGGTCGATTAAAAGGATGCAAATACACTCAGTGCGCACTGAATCTACCAATCGGAAACACCATTAGAATTCTCACAAGATTCTTTGACAGTTTGCAGGGTATTGGTAAATTCGGTCCCAGCAGGTAGCAGAATAAATTAAAAAAATTATACCCTTTTATCGATGAGAAAATTCGATCCCAACCTCAGTCCTAACAGGTCATTGGTCCTAACTATGTTAATTGCTTAGGGCTTACATTACTTGCCTGCTTAATCGATTTCGTAGATAAAAGTAACTGATTATTAGGCCGGTTTCTCAATAGCAGGTCACACCCGGGTTAAGCATAACTCCAGGGTAAATATAGCACCTGGACACGCTTACCCTGGATTTAAAACCAACCCAGAGGTGACCCGCTGTTGAGAAACTGGCTCGTAGGCATGTAAATTTTACCTCCCTAACAAATAGGCAACATTTCCTATTTCAATAATTCATTTCTGTTGTGAATTCGATATCAAAGAGTTGTTGTAGATTACTATAAGTATAGTTTACAAAAAAAGGTGAAAAGTGGGGAAAAACGGTGGATTTGCACCAACAAAATTAAAAGTAAATCCTATACGCTAAAAACGAAATAAGTCGTTTGCATTTCATTGAATGTGTCTCATATCACTGTGCGGTTTACCTAATCAATTGTGACTTTTATTGAGAATGCGAAGATCTTATAGTATGTTTAGTATGTAGGAATATTGTTCATCGATTTTAATCTGATACTCGGACGGAATGTGAGCTGGTGGCTCGCTACATTAAAACGCCAATAGTTACCTGACGTCACACCTGTTTTTGCCATATTAAACACCCCCTCGCTCCTCATACCGCAAGTGTCAGTTAAAAATCGACCAACAATATATCATAGGGTGATATCATGTAATATATGTAATACTTTTAATGTACAGTCATGAGCACAAAAAGTGGGACACCCAACTGACAGATCTTGTCATTTTCCGCTATTTTGCGTAAATCAGGGCCCGGATTCCGAACCCACGATTCGATAGAATCGTCCATATAAAATAGATAGACGATATTATCGAATCGTAGTTTCGGAATCCGGGCCCAGTCTTTTTTCTACAATCGACTTTTTGTCAGATATGACAATTCCTGTCATTGCGGTAGGTAAAAACACGAGACTTTGACAAGCAAAATATGGTGGTAAAGGGTTATGTGCCTCTTGGCGGACATTTTAATAGGCTGTGGTCCGAATATAACCAGGGTTGTGGTTTCACGGTCCGAAAGTAATCAAATCACTCTGGTTCCTGGAAAAGTGGTTACTTTTGGACCTCGGTTTCCTGAAATCTGGTTAACCAAATGTCAAAATAGTTACCGGCCGTCGGATGTCGGTTCTGTTGGTTTTATCTGTAATTTTTGTCAAATATTTTTTATTTCATATTCGCGTTCCCCAATTAACCGGAATTTTCAGAAACCGATTTTGTTATTTTGGTTAACGTTTGGTTATATTCGGACTATAGCCTAAGTTTGACAGCATCTTGAATAGTCTATCAGGAGTGCGTTCAAAGACGGTAATGCTAATGCCAAAACTTACTTTTCCCCTTCTACCGGCGATGCCAAATCTGGTGTGAATTTGCTGGAACGCCAAATACCGTTTCTCAATTAGTCAATATAAACCACGTGACATTCAAGATGGCGTGGCGTCCACACATGGACCAAAAAACACAAAAAAAATATCTAGTTTCTGCCCGACTTAATAGTTTCCGTACCTAGTTAACAAATATTGTATTGAATAATCAAAATCAAAGCTGCAAACAAAGAAAATAATTGAAATATGCATGAAAACACATATTCAAAACTAACTTGTTGGCCGCCCCGCCATATTGAATTTGGTCTCATCCAATCAAAATTCGTATAAACATTTCTAGACTCAGTTGAAAGAGCCTCCACAAGTTACTTTACCGCGGCCGATTTGGAACGTGTAAAGCCAACCGTTTTTCGCACACTGGAGCCGAACTTGAACGCAATATGCCAATTTTGTCTCGGCTTTAGCCGTTTTTGAACGCAGCCCTGCCTATCCGACGTGACTTTGACAAGCAAAATAAGGCCGGAAACGGTTTGTGTGCCTCTTGGCGGACATTTTAATTTAAGTTTGACAGCATCTTGGATAGTCTAATAGCTAGTGAGCCCAATAGTGACAATAGGAAAAAACGGGTGTCTCACTTTTTGTGCTCACGACTGTACCTATACAGTAATTTTTTTTTTTTTTCAACGTCTATGACTTTGTATAACTTTATGTAATAAATCACAAATTATTCAATACCTAACAAGATATTATTTACTGATCTCCTCACAAAATAGTTCACACGGAACCGAATTTCCTTGTTTGGGACTAGTTATTTTTGGACCAATATTTCTTGGGACCGAATTCACCTATACCCAGTTTGCAAACTGTCAAAAAGCATCGCACATACATGTTTTCAATGCCGTCGTCCCAAAATAAATCGGTAACTTAGCTGAACGATTGTTTCTGACAGTTTGCAAAATGAGCTCCAATAATAGAAGAATATTTATTACAAATGCTGTAGCAAGGTGCCAATGTGTTCCGACCTTTAGCCCATTTAAAAATCAAAGCAAGTGTAGTCCTGTTACAAAAATATTCTCAGGAACATTTTTACACAAACCCTTGTACATTTTGATGATTTTTCCAAAACCTGTTGAATTCTAAAACTTTTGGAGTAAAAACTGTAAAAAGAGAAAGAAAAAGTGCTCATTGAACTGAAATTTCGAATTGATTCAGTGGAAAATCATATTTTGAGAAGATCTTGAAAAACTGTTGATGGAAAAAATTTGAAACTTTTGCAGTAGATAGAGGAATGGAAGGAGCTCATTATACTGATATTGAGAAAATCTTAAAAATCAACTTAAAAAACAAATTATTGCAAAGCTATAAAGTTGAGACACAGCTATATTGTTATATTTAATTTGATACATCGTCCAACTTTGAAAGTAAATTGTTGATGAAAAATTACGGCAGCTACTGGCCAAAACGATAATAGTTTGAAGATTTTTTTTCCAAAATAACGTTTCTTATGGAAGTTTCCTGTTCCCCAAATAAAATAAAAAACAGTTTCTCCTTACCTTCATCCTGATAATTATTATTATTATTGTAAACAAATTCCCAATTTGCAATATTATCCTCCATTTCCTTGGTCAAGTTCCTGCCACAGTGCGTCCTTTTATTCCCGAATCGATTTCTGTTATTGCTCATTGTAAACTCGGGCTTCAAATTGGTAGTTTTGAGCTGCCTTTTCGGTTTTCTTTTCGCTTTCTTAGGAGACCCTGAATTCGTCCACTTGGCAGCAACCGAGTCGGCCCGCTCTTTTTCAGGAGAAGGCCACTTACTAGACACTAGATGAATATTCGAGGAAAAGTAAGAGTTTTCTTGTTTGTTGTTCAATGGGGGGAATGCGGCAAAATACCTGAGAGGTTGAAAAAATTAATATTGCATTGGCCAAAAAGTATCCATTCAAGTACCTTTCAGCTAATTCTTTGGGATTTGATATAAAAGGTTCCTTTAAAATGTTTTCGTCTTGGTTAGATTTACTTGGTGAATTGTCACCCTTGGGATTTACTTCCTTTAGTTTTTCGCAGAGCTCGTCTACAAGTGATTCAATTTCGCAACTCTGGAAAAAAAATTATGATTTGGAATATTTTTAAAAACATATTTTTTAAACCATCTAATAGGCTAAGATGACAACACATACAAATTTTATAATTTTACTATAAAGCATCTATTCTAAATTTTAAAAACCTGACCAAGATCCATTATAATTATTATTGGAAAACTTATGTAAATAAGAGGCCAAAATATGTAAATGGAAGGCTGTAAGAACAAAAGATTGTTTCTTGGAGAGCGTGTTGGAGAGTCCAAATGTAATGGATGTTTTTTTTTATTAATTGCATAGTTCCTTAGATTTTTGATGATGTTTAAATATTTCGATTGTAAATTGAACAAAAACTTGGAAAAATATGAAATTTCTCAAATGAGATCATTTTTCTGTTGTTATCAGAGAGGCATACATATTTGCACTTTTTTGAATAAATTACATATTAAGAAAACATCCCAAAATAGTTCAGATAATGTCATTCTTATGATGGATACATTTCTTTGGAAACAAAGCAGGTGGAGCACCCCAACCCCACCCCCAAGACTTAGAAATAGAATTTTTCAAAGAGAATAAATTGTTATGTTGTCAGAGGTTATGCAGGAGTGTATAAAATTAGGAAGACTGCTAGATACGTGAAAGGTGTCAAGGTGTGGTAAGTGAGAGTCGGCTGGTTCCTTGAGGAATAATGGTGATTTCAATGGAAAGAGCCATTCTTGGGTTAATTGCATTCCTAGGTGTATTCGTCCGCACACTGATTTCTTTTCTATCCCTTCTTGATTGAGCCTTTTTATGGATAACTTGTATATGACGGCTGATCCCCGTTGCATACAAGGGATGAAAGGTCTCTCTTACTTCCTCTTGGGAACTCTGCCCAGAACTAAATACTTTATAGTTACACCGCTGTTCAAAAAAGGAGACAGTCATGAGGCAGAGAATTACCGCCCCATCAGCCTTACATGTAACCCTTTGAAAGAGAGAGAAGAGAATTCCAAATTTTTTTTAGAAAATAATTTAATGCCAACATGGATTTCTTTCAAAACGCTCAACAGCAACCAACTTGCTTGAATGTTTAAGTGACTGGATAGAAAACCACGACAACGCTCAACCCACAGACGTGATTTTCTGGACTATGAGAAAACCTTTGATAAAGTGCCACATAAGCTGTTATGTGGTAAGTTGGAGCACTATGGAGTGCCTGGATAATTGCTGACATTGATTAGAGAGTTGTTGGATGAATGATATTAGCAAGTACGAGTAAATGGAGAAATGTCAAGCAGACACTTAGTGTAGTTGTCCAAGTATCGGTGTTGGGGCAACTGTTATATACTGCCTATCTATTTGATCTTATTATTATTATTATTATTATAATGGGGTTTTTGACAGTAGGCGGAAATCGGTAGACTGTCATTAGACCTTGTGCTAGGAACTTTACTTGCCAGTACACTATTCTACACCTATCACTGAAATATTTATCAAGTCTGTTCTTAAAGGCATTCACACTGGGGAAGGTTGCAACCTCGTCAGAGAGCTGATTCCACTGTTGCACCACTCGATTTGAGAAAAAATTCTTCCTGGAAAGTCTGTGGCAAAGTTCGGTGGAGAGCTTCAGGGAGTGTCCACGCAGATGAGGGATGATATTTCTGTGAAAGAAATCAATGTCGCATGTGTAATGATTATGTAGAATTTTGTATGTTCCGATTAAGTATCGTCTATTTCTGTGTTTTCCTCCAGAGTTGTCAGATTAAGAGCTTTCAGTCGTTCTTCATAAGACAATTCTCTTGAAGATGGTGGAATTTTGGTTGCCCTCCTCTGGACACGCTCAATTAGATCTATGTCCTTTCTGAAATAGGGACACCAAACCATAACAGCATGCTGTTGGTCTGATGTGGTCTGATGTAGGTTTTGTAGGCTCGGAGAAACACTTTAGGGAACATTTCCCTAAAACAGCGTCGTATCAGATAGACTGTTGAGTTGGCTCGCTTTACGATTGCATGTATATGCTGTTCCCATTTTAGGTAATATGAGATATTTACTCCTAAGTCGGCCTGCTCAATCACCCTTCCCAAGGTGTTATTGCCCATATGGTAGTCCAGCATAGGATTGTTGTATCCAATACATAACATTTGCTGACATTAAGTTTCAATAATCAGTCCTTCGTCCACCTATCCAGCTCAGCAAGATTCATGGCACCATGTTAAAATGTAGGGTCACAGAATATCTCGGTGTCATCAGCATACCTACTGGTCCTACAGGACATGTTCTGGGCAATATCTGAGACATAAATTATAAATAGAAGTGGGCTCAGCACAGAGCCCTGTGGAACTCCACTGATTACACTGTGCTTGCCAGATAAGGTGCCATTTATTCTGACTTGGTATGTCCGTCTAGACTAGAAAATTTTGCTGATGATGGCAAACTTAATGCAAATCCACTACTTAATGCAAATTAATCTCAGAAACACTTTAAAAAGGGTTGAAAACTGGTCAAAGATGTGGGGAATTAAACTGAGTGAGACAAAATGTACAGTGCTTAGAGTCAGCTCAAACAATCCAAACCATGAATACTAACAGAACAAAATGACCTAGAAGACTTCAAAAATCATTCTATTGAGATGATAACAAAGCTTTATAAAAGCTGTATCAGGCCAAAACTGAAATACGCTTTTACAGTGTGAAACTTGGAATCCCTATTATATTCAAGACATTGAAACACTTGATTAAGTACAGAGAAGACTAAGTATAGGGTATTTGATAGAAACATACAAGATAAAAAGCGGGTACTATAATTGCATTATTGGGCAGATCTTTCATTATAATCAAAACCAACATTTCGAGGACATTCAAAGAAATTGGACAAGGAAAAGGCTGCAAAATATCAAAGACATTTTTTTATAAAGAATCGGGTAGTTTACTCGGGGAAAGCCTTATCAGAACATACAGTGAACGGCCCTAATATAAATACATTTAAAAACCAATTAGACAGAGAATTTAAAAAGAGTGCAATTTGGATGATTCACTATAGTGCATAGTAGTAAACAACAACTTCATAGACTAAACAATAGCGTCATCGGTTTTACCGTCTGCTACTGAAAAATTACAGGATTACAGTTCTTTTTTCAAAATTCATAATTGATTTACGGGCCTTTACTCAATTCTTCAATTGGTAGCTTTTGGCAGTTCCAAATATATACTTTGGTTTGTAATTTTTTTTTAGTTTAGTTTAGGAGACAAAAATGCATAATTTGGGCAGACAATATGGGGTAAAATTCCTTCCAAATATTCAAATTTTCATTGAAAGTGTAATTAATACAAAGATGGCTTTGGGACATGGGTTTGGGGACATAGAAATTAATAGGGGGCGTAGTTGAATAGATTTACTAGCAACATATCAATATTTGGCTTCAAGCTTCAAGCAGAAAAGGAATATTTTGTGCAATAATATGCAATAACTCACTTAAAATGTCCTAATTGATCAATTGAAGGGATAGGGACAAAACTATGAATTATGTGCAATACCGTAGTTGAAGTAATTCTTCTATAAGATGAATGAAAAAAAATTTGAGAAATTCTACCAACCAATGAACATTTAGAACTCTAGAAATCTGATGTTCATTATACAGCACTTCAAAACTAGCCTGTTCCAACGAAAATCCCCACTAAAATGGATCTGTATGTACTTTAAATTAGCAAAGTTGAAACTTCTTGCCCAATATTAAGTGAATGCAAGTTTCTGTTGGAACAGGTCTAATTCAAAAATTTTAAATTTTGAATAAACTAGAGCTCAGTCTAGCTATATGACACAGCTATAACAGATCGAAGCCATGGGTGAATGGCGTTACCTGTTCAGCTGCGGACATAAGACACTGGACGGCTGCCGAACGTTTAATTTGTTCAGCATCGGCTTGTGCATGTCTCCACCAGGTGTCGGTGCGACGCGAGCGTTTATAGGATACAACGCCTCGTCCCCCGTCCTGAAGTAACAGCATTAAAGATAAAACAGCTAAGAATAATTAATCAAAAATATGACAAAATAGTTCATTATCCTTTTAATTACAAAGGAGATAAAAACTACATGGGTACCTTTTTAAATTTCGAAAACGTCAAATCGTCTTCAGGGTATATAACGTCCAAGGTGTGAGCGTGCAGCAAACTTAAAATGTAGCGAGTGTACACTTCAGAATCGATTCCGCGGGCTTCAAGTTGTTCCTCTAACCAATCTGATACGGCCGAAGGCATTGACACCAATTGCGGGTACTTCATAATATTCTATGAGAAAAAAATGATAAAAAGGGTCAGTGTCTGATTTTTTAGAATCTGATAAATGTTATTTCATGTCCACATTTGATGGAGAACTAATAGGAACATCCCAGACAAATTTGTCTATGAATTCCATTGTAAGCTTCAAGGTGCGCTAGACATGGAGACTAAAAATTCTTCAAACTCTTCTATGAAAATAATAGTTCTCTTAGCTTGTTTGCTTGCTTGTAAGCTTATAAAATTATACTTCTAATAATTATTTAATTTTTCTAGGTGGTTTGTGATATAATAAGACCACAAACAGAATAATATTATAAATTTAATTAATATCATCAATAATTATTAATAAGACCACAATGAAGATGTTTAGCTGAAACCTAAAATAGTGAACCACAAACTAGAGCCAAAAATTAACACGACCTTATTTTATTTTAGTAATCTCAGCCCAAAATTCTAATACTCTCACATCTAATATTTACTTTCAGTTTTATCAGTTAGTAGTCAAGGTCTATGACTTTTATAATAATTATTACATTTAGGAGGAGATTTTCTAATCTACTGTGTCTAACCAATAAATTATTATTTTTAGGATTGTGGTGGTGCCAAGTACAATAATTATTTATCGTTATCCAGTATTTAATTACATACTTAGATAGATAGTTTTTAGTGAATTATGTAATATGATTTTAGTAAAATATAGATTAAAATACTTACAAAACAAAAAGTGAAAAAGAATGTCCTTGTTCTTTGCTAGTTAGTTTTTGTTTTGGGCCACCAAAAGGTGTAAAGGTTTTGAAGATTTTGGCGATGCCAAAATCCATCTTAGTTGAGAAGGTCCATGATCCGTTGCCTATAGATAGCAATATAGGTAAACTTCAAAAAATATTTCAAACAGATATTATTACCTATCAATTGCTAAATTTTTTGTTATATGCGACGTTTGTTGAGTTATTTCTTAGTTTGCAAAGATCTGTCTGGGATTGGTAGGCGCCATTGTATGACTAGACCTGGAAAAAAAATTCAAATAAGTGTTTGCGTGTTATTTTTGAATTGTTCTGTTCACTGTTTAAGGGAGAATTAGAGAATGGACCCAAAAGACATACAAACAAATCAAATAAAATAAAAAAATAAAGTAACAAAATCAGATTTGAAAAGATCTTTGATGTTTATTGTACAAAAATTGATAAGAAAACTAATGAAACAACTATTAAGTCAGATCGAGGCTTTAGCTATCTTTTAAAGAATTTGATCTATCGTTAAATTTGTAAGGGTTTTGCATATGCTTATCAATCCAAGGTAGTACAGACTTTGGTCCATTCAAAACACTGGGTAATTTTCAATGCTTGAACTGGGAGCAAAAGTAACGCACTGGCGACTGGCCTTCAGGAAACAAAAGTATAGAGGCATGTTAGGATTTACACTTGAATATATACAGTAGGAATACTAATATTAAATAAAATGTTTGTTTATTTATTTATATACAGGGTGCAAAAAACAATAGTGTAACTGACTTCGAGGGGTGGAGCCTTCTTAAGATGGATGTTTTTTTGTTTTGTGAGTAACTACTCTCTATCATTATGAAAATTACCCTTTCAAAACTGTTACAGCTTCTTTTACTATCACTATTCGCTTTCGCATCAAAATGTATTCGAAAATACCAAATTTCAATTAAATTATTCTGGGTTACATAGAAATTGCAACACCCAGTAATTGTAAATATATTTTATTAATGGTTTGGGAAGTAGTTGGGATAAATATGAATAGCAATCGATGACATTTTCAAACAAATTTATTGAAAGGATCCTTGAAAATTCGATAGTGAGTTGCGCCTCCACATAAGTTTTGAATTCTGTAACTCTTCGTGGCATGGTGCGAATCAGATGATCCATATCTGCCTGTGGAAGGTTGTCCCAGGCTAATCTTACCTCATGACGTAGACGTTGTACATCCAATAGAAGATGTGGCAACTGCCGTAGCCTTCTACCTATCATATCCCAGACATGTTCAATAGGCGATAAGTCTGGTGAACTTGCACGACAGGATTTTTTGTGTCTTTAAAATGTATGGTCTTCAATGATGAGCTTTAAAAAGTCTTCAAAGTTGAGCAAAAAATCTTGGAAAGTCTTTAGTTGGTTCAGAATCTATAGAATATCAGGAATTATCAAAAGTTGAATTTTGGATCCACGAAGGTCGAAAGATTATAGATAATTCAAGTAGAAATGAAAGTATTTTTCCATTTCAGGCTCTTGAATTCTCTCAATTCAGGGAAATTTGAAAAAATTCAAGAACCGGGAATAGGCAAAAATTGAGAAGAAATAAATGAATGAGAATAGGAAATTGAAGAGAAATCGGTGACAAGAAGGAATAAAGGTATTTTCTCTATTCCAAGCTCTTGAATTGTCCCAATTTGGAGAAATTTGAAAAATTTCAAGAGCCGGGAATAGATAAAAATTGAGAAGAAAAATAATGATAATTGGAAATTTAGAAAAATTTGAGAAGAAATTGGTTGAGAAGTAGGAATATAAGGATTTTCTCTATTCCAGGCTCTTGAATTCTCTCTTTAGAGGAAATTCAAGAGCAGGTTAGTTTTTGTACACCAAATTGCGGTTTCAGGTGGAAATCATGGATAATTTCCCATGATTTTTCTGATTTCCCATAATTTCCTCTGTTTTGTTGTGATTACCAGTAAGATTGCACAAGAGTTCCCCTGACCTCAAATTATGAAGATTTTTGAAAACTGCATATGCGTTAGATCTAGAGATTGACTGATTTCCTTAAGATTTCCCATGATTTCCTTAAGATTTCCCCCGAGTTCCTTGAGGTTTCCCTTGATTTCCTCATGATTTCTTCAGGATTTTCCCTGATTGCCTTAGATTTGCTCAGATTTCCTCTTGATTTCCCCTAATTTGTATACCAGATTTCCCAAAGTGGTTTACCTACTTCTCAAAGGTAAACCGTAGGCCAGTTTCTGTATGTACAGGGTGTTTTTTTTATAAATTGGCACCCCGCCTTTACCTTTACCGATACAAGAAAGGTGTAAACACAAAAGCTGTACAGTTTTGGCTAAATTTTTAGAATCCATGGTCAAAAACAAAAATTGAATGTCAGAAATGTGAAATGTTGCATGCTTTCAGGTTTTTTTTAAATGGGATGCCCTATATTTGGTTCTATATTCTTGAAGAGCACATTTTTCCGATTCGAAAAATATATAGTTTGCCTATATTTGGTTAAGCCGTCTTCAACATATTTGGTTCTAAAAATTTTCGAAATACTATCAGAGAAACCAAGTACCTCAAATTTCACCTGCAGCCTCGCCTGCAGCTTTCACCTATACAGGTAGAATGGTTTGCAAAATCAGTCAGTAGGATAGTATTTTCACAATTTTTGAAACCGAGTATATTAAATATTTAAGAAAAAAAATTAACTGCATGAGTCTCTTGAAACAAGGAAGATCAGTACAGAAAAGATCAGCACTACCACACTTTGAATTTGCCAGCCCACATATTCTGGACATAGGACTATTTAACTCATAGTTAGTTCTATGCAAATCTATTGCAAATAAATCATGCTGACAGGTTAATCTTTGGGGTACGCTAATATTAATATTACTTAACAATTCAGGGCTGTCAATCATGCCACTTACAATTTCGAACAAAGTAAGTATATCAAACTGAGTCCTTTTAACTTCCAAAAGTGGTAAATTCAACTTTCCATACAAATGTTCATAATTAATATCTTCCATGGGAATTCACAGTTTAAAATTTCTAGTTCTCAAAAATCGTCTCTGTACCTTCTACAAAGAATCTATATAAACATTTTAATATGGAGACCAGGGCTGGGATCACGACAAGTAGAATTCTACTAGAATTCTGCTTTCATGACGTCAAATTGCCTAGCAACCGTCATCATCGCCTGTACTGTACGCGATAAATAGGTCACGGGTGACGTCATAAAAGTAGAATTCTACTTGTCGTGATCCCAGCCCAGGCTGGACTAGCATACTCCAACACTGATCTTACAAAACTACAATCCAGTGTTCTGAAACACGTGACATCACGAAAATCAGTAAGCGTTCTATTTACAAAGCCTAACATTTTTATTGCTTTATATTTCTCATACAATTTACCTATATGATAAATCAAACCGCAGCTCACTGTCAATATAAACTCCAAGATCTTTTATAACATTAACTTATTCCAGTTGCTCATCATAGATTTCATAATCAAATGGAATGTTCTGTTTTTTTTCTAGATACGGTTAAGATCTTACATTTCTGAATATTCAATTCCATACCGTTTAACTTACACCACAGGCACAGGCTATTCAAGTCTTTCTGCAACTCAAGACTTCAGTATTCCCCAGAGTCTTAAATAACTTCAAACTCGACTCCAAATCATCAGCGAAAAGAAGTTTACTACTGAATTTAATTTTAGAAACAAGATCATTTATAAAAATGTCATAAAGTATTGGTGCCAAATGTGATCATTGGGAAACTCCAGATAACACATTAGTATTGGATGATATCAAATTCTTCATCTTAACTGCCAGCTTATGGTCTGGTCTGATAAATAACTCTTAAACCAAGCTAGGTCTATCTGATATCTGTCCTTCAAGGCCCTCGCCAGTGATTCAGTGTAGACCAGAAGGTTCATAACAATTGAACGACCCTTTACAAAACCATGTTAGGATGACGATAATACACTGTACACTAAAGGAGCTATCTTATTAGTTAATATTGATTCAAATAATTTTGCGATAATATTTAACTTAGAAATTGGCCTATAATTATCAACCAAAGATTTATCGCCACTCTTGAAAATTGGAGTTACTCGAGGATTCTCGATTGTGAAGGGAATGTTCCAGATGACAAAAAAACGTTATACAATTTTACTAGAATTTTAGACTATTATTTATACTCCTTAAAAAGTTGTACAAGTAATTCATCAGAACCAGCTGATAGATTTGTTTTAATATTTACGATCGAGTTAAATACATCCATTACATTTATATTACAAGTATTAATATCAAGGGTTCTATCACAATCTACCTCCGGTACACCACAGTCTATCAAAGAACCGTACAATTTCCTGGAGCTCGTGTGTAGTTTCACCATTCAAACTCATACAATTTGGCAAGTCATAGTTACTATTTTTCACATTTACAAAATTCCAGAAAGTCCCACTATCATTGATAATACTAGATTGAACATCAATGACATAACAATCATAGCATTGTTTTATCAAAATTTTACATTGTCTTCTTAAATCACAAAACTCCCCATAGAATTGCGTATTATGTGTTTTCTTCCACAATGTATGTCCCTTTTCTTATTTAGAATAGTCGATTTTAGCTCATCACTATACCAACCAGGGAACCTCCTATTTTTAGATCTTTTTTCTGGAACATACATTTCAATACCTCTATAGAGAATAGAATAAAACTCTCGAACGGCTATCTCAACATTTTCTACATTCAAAATAATATTCCAATCAAAGCATCCCAAGAAATTGTTCAGTTCGACATAATTTGCATGCTGAAAATCAAAATACTTATAATCAATCAAAAGACATACTATTCCTATTGGCCACAGACATGTCCAGTTCAAATAATAAGGCTAGGTGATACTTATCACATGGTAATAGTGGACTACTACAAATATCACTCATTACATTTTGAGAGTTATGAAAGACAAGATCCAGCACAGATCCCAAAGCATTTGGAATATTATCCATTTGAAATAAATTTAGGTAGGCCATAAAATCAACAATAACAGAGGCCTGGGGCGAATATCATTCCACACTGGGACACCCCTGTCATCACACAGCCACTTGATTTCAGGAAGATTAAAATCACCTCACAAACAGATCTTATCACAGTTGATTTTGCTTATGGATGATTTCCTCAATATTTCCCATGATTTCTTTAAAATTTTTCCTGAGTTGCTTAGGGTTTTCCTGGGGTTTTCTTTGATTTTCTTATGATTTCCCATTTCCCCTGATTGCCTTAGATTTCCTCTTGATTTTCCATAATTACCGTGCGTTCGTTATTTTGGTCTGAGTTCTCCGAGCTTGACTTTACCGTTCGTTTATTCAAAAAGTGTACTCGGTGTATCCTCATTCGCGTTCGTTTATTAAAATTTCTGGCACTTTTATACAGCGTTCAACTGCTCTGTTCGCTCGCTGGTCACGTGATTACGGCTACGCTCTGCACGCTCTGCTCTTCGAGCAAAATACCGAACGCAAGGTTTGTACACCAGATTTCCTTTGCGGCTTATCCCTCGGGATCCCCCAAACCCCATACCTACATTAATTTATTTTGCGATTTGAAGCTGAAATCTTTTATAAAAGGATGTCAGGAAATTGAAAAATTCACCTCACATTGCTGAACGCGAATTGATTTTTGGAACTATAAAGTCCAATTACTGGTTGAACGCATACTCACTAATTTAGATAAAACTTTAAAAATAGTTTGATTTAGATACCTATTTAACAGTATTCTTTTTAAGGATAAAAAAAAGAGGAATTGAGGAAACGAATGATCCCAGCTATATTCTTTATTTCCTATGCAATTTCTAACACCATGTAAGTCTATAGAAACAAAATTCTGCAATTGCACTCAAAAAGTGAAAGCTCAAAACACTTTTTTGGTACTTTGAGTTCAGCAATTTTTTTCCAAAACTGTCCCTAGTCAGGCACTAGGAACATTAAAAAAATCGAGAGGTATACCGCCAATGTATTCCAGTGTGCAAGCCTCATATTTTAATCTTATGTATTCCTTTGGTTTGTATTTTCAAGTGTATTTCTTTAAAATTCTAATGTTTAATGACATCCTCACCACTATTTTAAGTTGTGATTATCTGCGTAAGTGAATCAAACATCCAGTGTTGAACTTATCCTTGTTGGGGTCAATTCGAGCCTGTTCAACCTAAATTATGCCCCTTACATTTACGTCGTAGCTCTTTGCTTAATTTTTCTAAAAAAATTTTAATAATAAACTCATACATTCCTTTAAGGATCCCACACACTTGCGTGATATGGCGGTGGTAAGCGGACATATCGCTACCGCCACCGACATATCGTGCCAGTGTGTGGGATCCTTTAATGAGATATGACCAAAAAAAAACTCAAATATTGTTTTGGAGTGATTTTTTGTTCTGTAGTAAAATTTACATTGAGCTTTACATCTACATCCGAGTCTGCATCTGAGGATGAAGTACAAATGAGGCGTTTAGCTGACAATCCTTTAGTTGGTGAAATGCATTTAAAAACCTCAAGTAAAGAAGATAATTCAAATAGAATCATCTCAGAAATCATAATGTTGAAATAGCGCAATAGTTACTTAGTTTTGTAATAATATCATGTTGATTTTTAAAAAATAAATAAATAAAATAATATGTATTCTTAATGTATTTTTATGTATTATTGTATTCTTATATGCATTCCTTTGTATTCTTATGTACTCCTTTGTACTCCATGTATTCAGTGTACAAATTTGGATGGCAGTCTAAGAGGTCTTCATTTGAAATAAGGACAAAGTCCAAAATAAATTATTGTATTATTTCTCCTTCACATTAAGTGAAATAGACAGCCAGTATATTGATCAATAGGTACACAATAATTCATAATTTTCCCTCATTACCAGCCTGACAGCATCACAGAATAAAAGAAAAATGCATTTTTTTCTTATTCCCAAATTGGAATTTGCCCCAATACCTACATACATATATCACTCTAGAAAATGATGGTTGTGCAAGGATAATACAAATTTATTATCAATCAAAATGCATGCAACATGATTAACTGTATTTTGCAACAAAAACATAGTTTAACTTACCTTGCGTTCGGTATTTTGCTCAAAGAGCAGAGCCTGCTGAGCGGAGCCGTAATCACGTGACCAGCGAGCGAACAGAGCAGTTGAACGCTGTATCATAGTGTCAGAAATTTTAATAAACGAACGCGAATGAGCCTGCACTGAGTACACTTTTTAAATAAACGAACGGCAAATTCAAGCTCGGAGAACTCAGATCAAAATACCGAACGCACGGTTAAACAAACAAACTAAATTACTGGAGTTTCCAGAAATCCATTTGTTATTGCGAAAATATTTTGCAATAATTACAAGAATGGGTACCTATTACAAACAAAATAACTGTTATCATTACAAAGCCAGATTTTGCAATAATAATCACAGATACAGGACAAAAATATTCGACCTTGTATTGAGAGCCAGTAGTGCAAGTACCACCCAAAACATAAAAATTCAAGGTAGACGACAGCCACCACAAAGCAGGCGGTAATCCCTGCACATTGAACTTATGGAAATAAAAACAAATAAAAGTTGCCACACACAGCACCAGAGAGATGCATTAGTCAGGAATTCCGAGAATTCCAACGAGGGCAATTTGCGCCTTATCTGCCTCAGCTTCCCACCATAAGACTTTGATAGTACCAGGTCCGAAAACTGTACAATTATAGGCAATAAAGAAAGGTTAACATACGTCCTAAAAATAGCTACAAGGGCGTTACATTTCCCGTCACAATGCAACTATTTATAGGAACCATTTCCGATTTTTTTTTATTTTAGGTGACGACAGTAACGAAAATAATGCGCTTAGGTATAATAAATATTTTCCTATTAAATGCGGAATTAAAGTTGAAGTGGCGCATTATTTATTGGGCGTCCTTATGACCTAGAAATAATAAATTTAAAGAGAATTTTGACAAATTGAACCAAAATTAGGAATTTTAACTTGTTTTTTGTTTTCAATTATTGGAAATTTAACACAAAAACTACGCTACAACAAATCACTTCTCAAAAATGTCCTTGGATGCGTGATGCTGATGTAAATTTTTTAAATAAACAAAAGCTTAGGTTTAATAGGGACGGCACTTTTGCATTTATTGGGCATTTCAATTGAATTTGTGTATAAATATTGTAAATAAAACTAGTTACTAACAAATAGATATGGGAAAACTCCTTAAAAACAAGCAATCGAACGCCATTATCCATTGCAATTGCACAACAAACGTGGAAGGAAAGTGAAGTCTGTGGTATCGATTGAATTTAAAGCGTGACAGCGCTTGGCCGATGGAAATTTTTAACAAATCAGCAATAAACAAACTAAATCTACATTTTGACTTACCTTTTTTGTATAAAATGATGGTCTAAATACGGTTTTTTCTTTACACACCCCACAGGTTTGTTAAAACATGGCAGGACGGCGCGGAGGCCTTGCCAATCAGACGAAATCCCGCTCAAAGCGGCGTTGTCAGATTTTTTCGGCGGGATTTCCTTAACGATTCTACCACTGATGTCCACTATAGAGGGAAATGTTTCCTTAGTAATTTCATATACAGGGGAGCGAAGTAAAAATATTATAATCAAGCACGAAGGATTTATTCCCAGCTAAAAAAAAAAAAACTAAAACTATTGACACAGCCAACACAGTCATACGAACAAATTTCAAAATTATATTAATAAATACCTATAGGTACCTATATAAATAGTAGATACTTACTTATATTTTGAAACAAAACCCTATTGAAGTAATACACAAATATGACAAATAGCTGTGGTTACTGTCTTTTATAGGTAATAGTTGGTGTTTATGTTTAATACAATAATATTATATAAAGTGTGTAGACAAAGTACCTATAAGTATTAAAGTTCGGCAATTTACTATATGAAAAATTATTTGAATTTTCTATCATCTGAACAACAATATCTACGACCTCTACATTGTTGTCCATTTACAGAACACCTCATCTGACCTGGTTAAATTTTTTCATTTTTTCATAACTTAGTAAGCTTGCTTAAGTTCCTCCCTCTATTGTATAGTAAATTAATTTTATGTGGCGACTTTAACTATACATCTTTCCAGTGTGTGTATCTGCTCAAGAATCTCTTCAGTCCATACTTGAATCTTTTGGTATATGCATATGCATGTTCAATGTCCAACCCGAATAACTACAGCCAGATCTAGCCTCAAGACGGCTATAATTTTTCTTCTGCACAAGGGTGGTGATAAGGACCAAACTTCGAACTTTCGTCCAATTCCCACTTAATTGTCCAGAATCATTGAAAGATTATGGTTATCACAAGTTTTTCTATCATTTCTGCATAAATATAACATAAGTACCTACTAACTACCTATATTCACCAAATTTCGATTTTTAGCTAACAGATGATTGATGCTCTGTCTTCAATTATGTCTTCTCTAGCTTAAACAATCTGCACTCTATATACAGCATCAATTTTCTGTGATTTTCATAAGCATTCGGCTGTGTAGGTCATAATGTCCTAATTAACAAATTCCACTATTACAGAATTCGAGGCTCCCCTGAATGATTCAGGTTGTATCTTAACAAAAGAAAACAGCTGCTGAGGGTTGATACAACGATGTCTTTATAGAGTATTCCGTGTTGGGTCGGGTCCAATATTATTTTTGCAGTTCACCAACGCCATTGCTAGTCATCAGCAGTAAAATCTGTCTTTTTGCTGATGATACTAGTTTAACTTAGAGCAACCCCAGATATGGTAGTTCTTCATAGAACCATGTCCAACGACTTGTTTGCCAATAAATCATAATGCGACTTTAACATTCTCTGCGAAAACTAAAGTTCTGTCATGTGAAATTAAATTATTGCAACCCTATTGTACTAAGGCGATTACACACGGACGTGGATGTCTGAAAACATGTACGCACATACATGAACGTGCAAACAAAAATATCAATGTGTATGCAAAATACCGTCGCGTTTTTGAATGTGCAATTTTGTATGCACACTCGGAAAACTGTAGCAAGAATAGCAAAACTGCAGTTTTGTGCGAGCGTCTGTACAAAAGCGCCATGCACGTTGTTGTTTGCACGTTGATGTATGTACGTATATGTATTAAGACATCCACGTCCGTGTGTAACCGCCCCTATTGTACTTAATAACACCACTACTATTCCCGTCGTTGATTCCAGGGACGGATGGGACAGGCGGGAGACCGGGAAATTTCCCGGTGGGCCGGTCGGCAGACAATTTCTACAAAGTACCTAAAGCATAGGCATCGTTTAAATATGACAGGCTCACCCACAGTATCGACGTAGGTACCTTCTTTTATACAGTGAGATAAAGGGTATTCCATTTGTTGGTTTTTGTTGACACATGCCAACTGCGATTTTTTGAAAAAATATTAAATATTTCAAAAACGGTTAAGTTTTGGTATAGGTGATTCCTAACAAAAAGTATGTAGGATTTTTACAACGATCCATTAATGTACTGAAATATAGGGTGTTCCATTTAAAAATAACAAAGTTCTTTTGCATACACCATTTACGGATTATCCCTCGGAGGACCCTGAGTATTTGAAAATATTTTTAACTTATGCACCTTAGAGAATCAAACAACTTTGTAATTTAATTTTTTTTCTTGCATCACCCTGTAAGGAGATATCGTCCCATATCGCACTAAGTGGACACCCTGTATACCTAACTATTTTGACGGCATTGGGATACAGTTGAGGCGTGTTTTTTGAACGACTTTCGGGTGCAAATTTGAGCGTGGCACTACGTTGCGACACTTGATAATTTTCCTTTCATCCATTACCCCCCCCCCCCAGAAAATCATGTATGGACCGCCACTGTAAGAAACTGGATGAACTTGGAATGGACGTTGAATTAGAAACGATTTCTCAAGGCCAAGATGAGTTAAAAAGATTTTTGTTGAAAAATCTTCCGATGAGGCTCTACAAGATGAGCATAAAAGAAAAGGTTCAATGTACAATGTGATTATGCATATAGTACAGTCCGACTTTAATAATCTGGATACCTACTCTAAAGCAGCTAGTGGCTCCCTACGTTAGTACGCCAATGGTCACCTGAACTCACTCCTGTTTTTGCTATATTCTTCCTTCCCTCACTCCTCATACGGAAAGTGTCTGTCAAATTAAAAAAGCTGAACATCATAGATCTGGTTCTCACAGGAGTCTCTAACAGTTTGCAACCTGTCAGGAACAATTGCTCAGCTAAGTTATCGATTTATATTGGAACGACGGCATTGAAAACATGTATGGGCTATGCTAACCGACAGTTTGCAAAAAAATACTCTTGTGACAACAGACCTTTTATGTGATGAGTCATGCTCAAAATATAGATACACCTTTGTGCTGATATAGCAATTTCCAACCCAACATATTTTGGAAAAATAACACGAAATGGCCTACTACACTACTCGACAAAAGTATGCTCTTGATATCTGAATTGGATGCAAAATTTCATAACAATGCTAAGGGGGAATTACCTTTTCGGTTTTGCTGGTAATTTGGACCTTCTTCACAAGTTATCTCTGCAGAAGACATTTGATAGAACCAATATTTCGACTCATAGTGACTCAGGATGAAAAAGTAAATGCGTAAATAGATTTCAAAGATACAACAAAAACTTGCTCCTGCGTATATTGCTGGAACGACGCTATTTTGAAATATTACCTGTATCAGCGTATTCAGTTTTAGTGTATCGATACATTTTTACTTCGGCAATCACGTGACATGCGGAATATCGTTTTTCTACGAGCGTGCGTGAAGTAGTACTTTCCCGCTTGCAAAGTTACAAGTTTCCGCACTCCGTGTGGATAAGATCTTTCTCCGCACTGAGTGCCTAATAGCAGAATTAATTGTCAAGCAACAATATAAGTGCACCTCCCCTCCCATTTCTCCCCCGTTTCTATATCAGCAAACATCTATACAAATACCAAATACATTTAATTATATTTTAATTTTTGTTGTTATGTGATATGAAGCACGTGGGAAAAATATTGATACCAACACTTGCGCAAATTCTCGTTCCTGCACTTAAAGCCTATCCGAACTCCGTTGCGTCCTTCGTCTAACTACTTTGGCATGCGAGAAAGTACTACTTTGGACACTTGTTAGGAAACTATTTCCATTTTCAAATATATTAAGAATAGGGTAAGAAATAGGTTACCTATAGGTGCCGAGGAATCTTTCTGGCTTATGAACATAGAAATAGATCCCTACTCAATCAAATAGATAACGACGAAGATAATATTATAAATGAAGTCCTAGCGTATTTTTTTTTTTTTTAGAAAAACAAAATATAACTCCTACACACGAAGTGTCAAGCGCGGGCCGCTTGACCCGAAATTTTTCCGGGCCGATCTCACACAGCCCATCCGTCCCTGGTTGATTCTGTAAAATTTTTGGCAACTCCCTAAAATGGAGCTCGCATATCGATTCTTTATCCAAAAAATTAAGTTTCGCTTGTTTTGCGATAAGATCAGTTTCCAAGGAACATAATTTGTCAACTTCTAGTCTACTTTTACCCATTGCCAAGATTTTTACAAAGAAAATAAAATATTACCACTCCTTTCCTATTTATATTAGAATCCAGTCTGCTCAATCCGCAAACACCTATCCAGTATTTCAGAAGGGCCATTGCATAACTATGCACGTAGAAATGGGGAGCATGAGCTTTATTCGCCAACCCCATCCTCCCATATACAACGCAAAAAAACTGCCCAATCATCTCTTCCTAAATTTTGCATAGCTCTAAAATCCTATTCATAAGAGAGAGTCTTGGTAAATCTTTTGAATAGAATTAGAGTTTATTTTGTAATGGATCTAAGTTTGTATTTGTCATTTGGCCAAAGGATTCAGATCGGGAGACCGCGATGATCAGGTCATTCAATAGAGATCCACGTACACCTTCCAATCCATCTGTTGAGAGCTACTTATTGCCTAACCTGATGAACTGCGTGAAAATGCACCGTTTTGCTAGAACCACAAATTTTTGTTATGTAGATATTCTCGGGTTATTAACACAGCCGCTGGGAAAGAAGTTTCTTAAAGTAGGTAGGGATAAGATATTGCTGTAAAAAATAATGGTATGTCTAATGTGTTTTTGGGTGTGGTAGATATTTGGTATTCTCTCATCCATTTGGGATTTTCTTTTACCCAATAACGAAAGTTTTTGTCTATTAACTTCCAAAGTTAATATAAACGTTGATTCATCTGAAAATATAACATTTTTAGCTTGACGAGAGAAATTATTGGACATATTATCCATTAAGGTTTGACAAATTTGCGTTCGTCGCGGTCTGCATCGTCTTCATTGAACTGATGGTGTTGTATTTTATGATTATACCACTTTTTAAAATTCTACGTAACAGACCATGTAGGGATATCGTCATAATCGCGATTTGACGATTGCTACAATGCAGATTGTCTTCCACAGCTA